TTGGGACGCCTGAATCACCACGATATGGAGGGGATTTGGGACGCCTGAATCACACGATTGGGAGGGGATTGGGACCGCCTGAATCACACGATTGGGAGGGATTGGGACGCCTGAATCACACGATATGGAGGGGATTGGGACGCCTGAATCACACGATTGGGAGGGGATTGGGACGCCTGAATCACACGATATGGAGTGAGGGGATTGGGAACGCCTGAAATCACACGATATGGAGGGGATTGGGACGCCTGAATCACACGATATGGAGGGGATTGGGACGCCTGAATCACACGATATGGAGGGGGATTGGGGACGCCTGAATCACACGATATGGAGGGGATTGGGACGCCTGAATCACACGATATGGAGGGGATTGGGACGCCTGAATCACACGATATGGAGGGGATTGGGACGCCTGAATCATCACAATCACACGATATGGAGGGGATTGGGACGCCTGATATCACACGATATGGAGGGGATTGGGACGCCTGAATCACACGATATGGGAGGGGATTGGGACGCCTGAATCACACGATATGGGAGGGGATTGGGGGGATTGGGACGCCTGAATCACACGATATGGAGGGGATTGGGACCCCAGCAACGAGTATGAAGGGGATTGGGACGCCTGAATCACACGATATGGAGAGGGATTGGACGCCTGAATCACACGATATGGAGGGGATTGGGACGCCTGAATCACACGATATGGAGGGGATTGGGACGCCTGAATCACACGATATGGAGGGGATTGGGACGCCTGAATCACACGATATGGAGGGGATTGGGACGCCTGAATCACACGATATGGAGGGGATTGGGACGCCTGAATCACACGATATGGAGGGGATTGGGACGCCTGAATCACACGATATGGAGGGGATTGGGACGCCTGAATCACACGATATGGAGGGGATTGGGACGCCTGAATCCACACGATATGGACGATAGGGGATTGGGACGCCTGAATCACACACGATATGGAGGGGATTGGGACGCCTGAATCACACGATATGGAGGGGATGGGACGCCTGAATCACACGATATGGAGGGGATTGGGTTCGGCACGCCTGAATCACACGATATGGAGGGGATTGGGACGCCCTGAATCACACGATATGGAGGGGATTGGGACGCCTGAATCACACGATATGGAGGGGATTGGATTGGGACGCCTGAATCACACGATATGGAGGGGATTGGGACGCCTGAATCACACGATATGGAGGGGATTGGGACGCCTGAATCACACGATATGGAGGGGATTGGGAACGCCTGAATCACACGATATGGAGGGGATTGGACACGCCTGAATCACACGATATGGAGGGGGACGATTGGGAACGCCTGAATCACACGATATGGAGGGGATTGGGACGCCTGAATCACACGATATGGAGGGGATTGGAACGCCTGAATCACACGATATGGAGGGGATTGGAACGCCTGAATCCACACGATATGGAGGGGATTGGAACGCCTGAATCACACGATATGGAGGGATTGGAACGCCTGAATCACACGATATGGAGGGATTGGAACGCCTGAATCACACGATATGGAGGGGATTGGGACGCCTGAATCACACGATATGGAGGGGATTGAACGCCTGAATCACACGATATGGAGGGGGATTGGAACGCTGAATCACACGATATGGAGGGGATTGGAACGCCTGAATCACACGATATGGAGGGGATTGGAACGCCTGAATCACACGATATGGAGGGGATTGGAACGCCTGAATCACACGATATGGAGGGGATGGGAACGCCTGAATCACACGATATGGAGGGGATTGGAACGCCTGAATCACACGATATGGAGGGGATTGGAACGCCTGAATCACACGATATGGAGGGGATTGGAACGCCTGAATCACACGATATGGAGGGGATTGGAACGCCTGAATCACACGATATGGAGGGGATTGGAACGCCTGAAATCACACGATATGGAGGGGATTGGAACGCCTGAATCACACGATATGGAGGGGGATTGGAACGCCCTGAATCACACGATATGGAGGGGATTGGAACGCCTGAATCACACGATATGGAGGAGGGGATTGGAAACGCCTGAATCACACGATATGGAGGGGATTGGAAACGCCTGAATCACACGATATGGAGGGGATTGGAACGCCTGAATCACACGATATGGAGGGGATTGGAACGCCTGAATCACACGATATGGAGGGGATTGGAACGCCTGAATCACACGATATGGAGGGGATTGGAACGCCTGAATCACACGATATGGAGGGGATTGGAACGCCTGAATCACACGATATTGGAACGCCTGGGAGGGGATGGAACGCCTGAATCACACGATATGGAGGGGATTGGAACGAATCACTGAATCACACGATATGGAGGGGATTGGAACGCCTGAATCACACGATATGGAGGGGATTGGAACGCCTGAATCACACGATATGGAGGGGATTGGAACGCCTGAATCACACGATATGGAGGGGATTGGAACGCCTGAATCACACGATATGGAGGGGATTGGAACGCCTGAATCACACGATATGGAGGGGATTGGAACGCCTGAATCACACGATTGGGAGGGTGGGGACAATACTTTTGGCAATATTTTGTATGTGTGCGTTTGTATATATGTATCTCACTCTATCTGGTGGGTATTGCAATTTTTTTTTTTTTATGCCACACAGTATTTTTGCAGCGGTTTCCTTCCTTTTTAGTGAACACAAACAAATGTTTTGGTAAAATGTAGGATGATGTTATGCTGAGTAAATGGATAGTAAATATGTCACGTTTTATAAAGGAATGCGCCCGTGGAACGGCACCAAACTACATGACCTATAAATCTCCATAGGCAACGCTTTGAAAGCCTTTACAGGTTACCAGTTTAGAGTCACACAGGAGGTCCGGTGCTGGAAACCTCGCTCTCTGACAGTTGCAACGATACTTCATGTCTGTAGTGCAATCACTGTTTACATGTGTGGGCAGGACTTGGATATGTATTCACATTTTGTGCGTGAAATTGGGGCGCTTTAATTTTTTTTTTTTTTAATTATAATTAAAGTTTTTTTATTTTTACACTTTTATTGCTATCACAAGGGATGGCCAACATCCCTTGTGATAGCATGGGCAGTGACAGGTCCTCTTTATGAGAAATCTGGGCCCCAAATCTCTTATTCTGGCCTTCCAAAGCATCTGATCAATCCAAGATCGGTTTGATTAGATGCTTGTTCAAACCAGTAGCGGACAAAATCCTCATTTCTTCCAGTTTCTGACTTCACACAGTATGTGTGTGTGGGGGGGTAGGGGGACGACAACAACATCCGTTCCTCCCTAGGTGTCTCCAAAGCCTCCATAGACATCTATGACAACACTCGCTTACAGCACCTGCAACTTTTGAGGTTTTTATTCACAGTTGGCTTTGCTTTGTTTTGGAGGTATTGCAGGTATGAGAGATCCCAGGATGTACTGGGAAACCAACAAGCGAACCAGAAAGACGTCATCGGCAGTCACTTCCGGTTCATGTGTATATATTCTGCATGTGTCTGGTGCAGACATCACATCTAGTTCGGACTGCAGGATAGCAACTAGCAGACGGAACACGTGGGGATGATTTATTAAAACTGGAGGGTGCAAAATCTGGTGCAGCTGTGCATGATAGCCAATCGGCTTCTAAATTCAGCTCGTGTAATTAAGCTTTGACAATAAAACCTGGAAGCTGATTGGTTTCTATGCACTCTCCAGTTTTAGAAAATCAAGCCCATGGGGATCTGCAGAGCTGGGGGGTTACTACAGAGCGGGGGATCAGCAGAGCTTGGGGTGCTACTGGGGCAGGGAATTGGCGGAGCTCGGGGTGCTACTGGGCAGGGAATTGGCAGAGCTCGGGGTGCTACTGGGCAGGGAATTGGCGGAGCTCGGGGTGTTACTGGGCAGGGAATTGGCAGAGCTCAGGGTGCTACTGGGCAGGGAATTGGCGGAGCTCAGGGTGTTACTGGGCAGGGAATTGGCAGAGCTCGGGGTTCTACTGGGCAGGGAATTGGCTGAGCTCGGGGTGCTACTGGGCAGGGAATTGGCTGAGCTCGGGGTGCTACTGGGCAGGGAATTGGCTGAGCTCAGGGTGCTACTGGGCAGGGAATTGGCTGAGCTCGGGGTGCTACTGGGCAGGGAATTGGCTGAGCTCGGGGTGCTACTGGGCAGGGAATTGGCTGAGCTCGGGTGCTACTGGGCAGGGAATTGGCGGAGCTCGGGTGACTTCTGAGCTGGGGATCGGTGGAGTGAGGGGGACTTCTGAGCTGGGGATCGGCTGAGTGAGGGGACTTCTGAGCTGGGGATCGGCTGAGTGAGGGGACTTCTGAGCTGGGGATCGGCTGAGTGAGGGGACTTCTGAGCTGGGGATCGGCTGAGTGAGGGGACTTCTGAGCTGGGGATCGGCTGAGTGAGGGGACTTCTGAGCTGGGGATCGGCTGAGTGAGGGGACTTCTGAGCTGGGGATCGGCGGAGTGAGGGGACTTCTGAGCTGGGGATCGGCTGAGTGAGGGGACTTCTGAGCTGGGGATCGGCTGAGTGAGGGGACTTCTGAGCTGGGGATCGGCTGAGTGAGGAGGCGTCTGAGCTGGGGATCGGCTGAGTGAGGAGGCGTCTGAGCTGGGGATCGGCTGAGTGAGGGGGCGTCTGAGCTGGGGATCGGCTGAGTGTGGGGACTTCTGAGCTGGGGTTTTACTGGGGCCCTTCTAATCTAAAATCAACACTCACACCATGGCATTTTCCCAGCTTCATTAAAGCTTCCATCACTAAAGCAGATTGCAGCAGTAGGCGCATTAATGTGTAAAAGTGCAGCAAGTGTAAACGAGCCCTAAGAGGTAATGAGAGGTTATAGAGAAGCACATTTTATTTCATCAATAAATGGCCTTGTTGAATGTGATAACAGCCCAGACTGGGGTGGGGGTCGTCATGTTGGATGAGGTGTTGACTGTCTTATTCTTATTCCAGGTACCTGAAGATCACATCATGGCTGCTGAAACACTAAATTTTGGGCCGGAATGGTGAGTATCACATACGTGTGTGTGTGGTTGTGTGAGTGTCGGATATTTACTGTGAAATCTTCATGCTCAGAAGTCCCTATCAAAGGGAAACTCTGATTTTACTGAAGAATAACAAAAGGTATTCCCTGTGATCTGTGAATGAAAGGACTACAAGTCCCAACTGCCACCACGGCGGAGGAACTCACAGATCTTAAAGGAGCATGAATCCAGTGTAGTCAGTCCATTGGTTACTTCCTCCAGTCCCAATACACTAGATCTGTATCCATATAGCAGTCTGCAGGAGCATGATCATCGCACGTAGGATGCACTGATCGTGGTGGCAATGCTCTGGAAGCAAAACAGTACTAAATGCACAGTTTGTTTTTCTTTTATCAGTGTGGGTGTATTAGTTTTGGGTGGTGGTGGGTGGGTTTTTGTTTTTTTTTTTGTTTTCTTTTGGTTTTTTTTTTTTTTGGGGGGGGGGGGGGGTTGTGTGTGTGTGTTTTTTTTTTATTTGTGTGGTATGTGTGTGGTTTTTTTTTTTTTTTTTTTTTCGTGAGTGCTCTTTGTGTGTGTGCCTTTTTAACCCTTTTTACTGCCAAAGCTATTTTTGTGCGTTTTTTGTATGTTTTAAACTAATCTTCACACCTAAAATGATTTTTAACACCCCCCCCCCCCCCCCCCCCGAAAAATGTTTTCAGAATAAGATGTTTGCAGTTCCACCCTTGTGTGTGTATGTCACATGATATTTCTGCAACAATTCTTATCTGCAAAGTTTTAATACATTTAAAGTGGAGTTCCAAAATAAGTCAGCAGTTACAAAAACTGTAGCTGTTGCCTTTTAAAAAAAAAAAAAAAAAAAAAAGCCACTCGCCTGTCCCATGATCCCGCGGTGTCCTCCCCCGCAGCCCTTTTCGCCAGTTGTCTGGTGTTCCAGGCGCCGACATCTTCAGTGTGGGCACCCGGCTGTGACCGTTTGCGGCTTCACAGCTGGGTGCCCACTGCACATCCGTGGGTAGGCCTGCACTTTCTGAATGGTCCGGTAGTCTGAGACCTGTTGTGTGTCCCAGAAGACTACGGGGAGGGAGAATAGGAAGACAACTTCCGCTTCCGATAGCCTAGGCCAGGGGTCGGCAACCTGAGAGCCGCAGGACTACAAGTCCCATCATGCCTCTGCAAGTCTTAGCTGTAACTGTCAGTTTTGTAATCTTTGCAATGCCTCATGGGAAATGTAGTTCCACAACAGCTAGAGAGCCGCAGGTTGCCTACCCCTGGCCTAGGCGATCTCAGCGGGAGCGGTAGGTTCTGGGCCCACAGGTGGGACAACGAAAGCCTGAAAAGCGTGACGGGGGTGGGCACGCTCCAGGGGCCACAGATCGCTATCGGGTGGCCTTACAGCTGCCAGATCGCATTAGTTGGAAAGCCAACAGTCCAGCTTGTAGAAGGTGCAAACACTCCCAGTGGGCATGTGTAAATCTCCCTGCTGCCACTGCTGTAAGCCTTGGGGGGGGGGGTAAACTGGTGAAAGCACAAGTCCAGGTACCGGTGTAAAGATGTATCGAGAAACATTTAACAAGCAAAGTCATTAATTTACCTCCATGTGCAGCTGAGCACAACGTCCAGCCATTATGTGACCTATTTTAACTCTTTATCTCCTGACGAAGATCTTTTCTGGAGCAAAACATGTAGTTTTTTTGGGTCTTTCTTTGGGAGCACTTTTTGAATGCACATGGTATTCACGCCTCTCGCTCCCCTTTTTTTTGGAGAGTTCTTTACTGCCGTTTACAGTGCATCATTTTGCATTCCTCAAAACAGTGAGTTATTTTTGGTGGATATGGTGATGTATGGGGCTTATCCATGAGAGGCTGACATTTGAGCCCGTGGATGAGTGTACCCGTATTACATGTCTGTAGCAAGATAGATGATACTGTCCAATTAGTTTTGTCCACGGGGGGGACTCCATTTCCATAACAGAGATTATATATTCAAGCTGATGGTTTTATGATCAAACTACAGGGCCTCTTTGTATGTCGTCACTTCATGTAAAACGGTACGGTAGTTGATTTGGTCCGGTGTCATCCATTTGGATGGAAGGTAAATAATCGCACAGGTATCCAGTCATATTGTTGTGCGCCGTACATTCCACTCCAATAGGCATTAAAGCGCATTTCCACTCACGCTGTCAAAAATTAAAAGTCAGCAGCTTCAAAAACTGTAGCTGCTGACTTTTAAAAAAAAAAAACAAAAAACAAAAAAAAACAGCCACTTACCTGTTCCTCGGTCCCATGGTGTGTCCCCCGCAGTCCGTTTCACAGGCCGTCCTGTATTCCTGGAGGCCGGCATCTTCAGTGTGGGCACCCGGCTGTGATAGCTTGCGGCTTCATAGCCGGGTACCCATTGCGCATGGCGAGCAGCACTGCGCTTCATGAATGGTCCTGTAGTCTTCTGGGACCTGTCACGTGTCGCAAAAGACTACAGGGAGGGAGGACACCTTCTGCTTCTGATTGCCTGGGTGATCGGACCGGAAGTGGGAGAGGTACCTGTCAAATTCGTGTACCCGCTCCCCCCCCTTTCCCATTCCCGAAAGGTGCCAGTCCTTAATGGAGAGCAGGGGAGCAGTCCTTAACCACTTCCAGTCCGGACACTTTCCCCCCCTTCCTGCCCAGGCCAATTTTCAGCTTTCAGCGCTATCACACTTTGAATGACAATTGCGCGGTCATGCAACACTGTACCCAAATGAATTTTTTAGCAATTTTTTGAGACAGATAAAGCTTTATTTGGTATTTATTCACCACTGGGATTTTTATTTTTTTTTTGCTATATAAATGAAAATGTCCAAAAATTTTGAAAATATCGTTTTTCTTATAAAATTTTGCAAATAAGTATTTCATCATAAATCTTGGCTAAAATTTATTTAGTTCTCTTTTTAGTAAAAAAAACAAAAAAAACAAATTAGTTTATAACTAAAAATTATAATTTAATAAAAAAAATTTTAAGTTTTTTTTTTATTTGTTTTATATTTTTTTTCTACATACTGTCACCCTAGCAGTACAGTACTGTAACAGACACTGTACTACTTGTGGGGGAGATGAAGATTTTTTTTGTTTTTACACTGATTGCTTTTACACCCATAAAGGCTGTAAGAGGAATAATTTCTCCTCTCTGGCTGCATTCTTGCAGCCATTGAGAAATACTGTGAGAGCTGCGATTGGTCACAGCTTATCACATGGTACAAGGCTGTTGTGAATAGCCCTGTACCATGTGACCTCTGTGATCATTTACAGATTTCACACGTAGTAAGCAATGATGTCAGGAAGTGACACCTTGCTTACTACTCTGCATGTGATCACCGATTGGCCATTCAGTGATCACATGATCGGGACCTCGTACAGAGGTCCCGTACAACGATCGGTGTTCCACTGTGTCGTGTCTGGAGGACACAGCAGGCACCGGATCGCGTACTACTTGTGGGGGGTGATGAAGATTTTTTTTGTTTTTACACTGATTGCTTTTACACACATAAAGGCTGTAAGAGGAATAATTTCTCCTCTCTGGCTGCATTCTTGCAGCCATTGAGAAATACTGTGAGAGCTGTGATTGGTCACAGCTTATCACATGGTACAAGGCTGTTGTGAATGGCCCTGTACCATGTGACCTCTGTGATCATTTACAGATTTCACACGTAGTAAGCAATGATGTCAGGAAGTGACACCTTGCTTACTTCTCTGCATGTGATCACTGATTGGCCATTCAGTGATCACATGATCGGGACCTCGTACAGAGGTCCCGTACAACGATCGGTGTTCCACTGTGTCTGGAGGACACAGCAGGCACCGGATCGCGGTGCTGCGCGCTCCCCGGGAGCGCGCGCACAGTCCACAATGGTGGGTGCCGTTTATGAATGGCAACCCGGCCCTGGACTGCCACCATCTGGCCGTTTATATACAGCGGCCGGACGGCAAGTGTGTTAAAGCGTAACTTCCCCTTTTGGGTGGAGTTCTGTTTTAATCACAGCTGAGCATATATATGTATAAAAAAAAAAAAATGTATTTGAATAGAGGTTACATATTTTAGATTCATCAGTTGGCCAGATGGTGTAGAGACTCGCCCTCCTCCAGTATAGGTAAGCAAATTAACTGACAGACGACTTCATTTGCATCCAAATCGATCACTAAAGTCTACGTGGGACAGTTGTCAGAGTTGTCACACAGCAAGTCCAGGCTAAACGGGAGCCGTGGGATGGATCTGGTGAGGGATTACAGCCGGAGTGGCACCTTCCTCCTGTGATGGTTCGTAGATCATTGCAATCGTTGGTCTCTCTTATATCTGTCTGGATGTTTAATGACTTCACCCTCCGCCCCCACATACCGGCATGTCACAATCGGTTACACCGGACGGTGCCTGCAGCTTCAGGCATCATGCCGGTATATTTTGCTCGGTGATCCTCTCCAATGTAAAAGCAGTCCTAGTGGTTAAAGTGTTACTAAACCCCCAACACTACAGTCTGTAGATGCAGTAAATCATGCTGGTTATACTCACTGCGGGACCTAAGGGGTTAATACTCCGCATTGTGTGTAAAAGAATGTTTGATCCTGTCTTCTCTGATCCTCTCCTTCTTCTGACCTCAATCCATCTGCTGATAGAACAGAGGCTTTGGGGCAAGCTGCACATGCTCAGTTTAGTGTGTATTTGCTAGAGTTGTTTTTTTCTGTTCTTGGGAAAATGCATGTGATCAGCACTGTTCAGAGGGTCAAGGGTCCTGCAGCCTCAGGACAATCAGAGGAGAATGAAAATTCCTCCTACAAGCTTTAACTAGTGCGCTGCTGGACATGAATATGCTATATACTGCTGATGAGAAAAGGTATTTAGCTGTTTACATTTACTAAAATAATTACATTTCCATGTTCTGTGTACTATGGGAGAGCGGATCTAGTGAATGCGGGGTCCGGGGAGAGCGGATCTAGTGAATGCGGGGTCCGGGGAGAGCGGATCTAGTGAATGCGGGGTCCGGGGAGAGCGGATCTAGTGAATGCGGGGTCCGGGGAGAGCGGATCTAGTGAATGCGGGGTCCGGGGAGAGCGGATCTAGTGAATGCGGGGTCCGGGGAGAGCGGATCTAGTGAATGCGGGGTCCGGGGAGAGCGGATCTAGTGAATGCGGGGTCCGGGGAGAGCGGATCTAGTGAATGCGGGGTCCGGGGAGAGCGGATCTAGTGAATGCGGGGTCCGGGGAGAGCGGATCTAGTGAATGCGGGGTCCGGGGAGAGCGGATCTAGTGAATGCGGGGTCCGGGGAGAGCGGATCTAGTGAATGCGGGGTCCGGGGAGAGCGGATCTAGTGAATGCGGGGTCCGGGGAGAGCGGATCTAGTGAATGCGGGGTCCGGGGAGAGCGGATCTAGTGAATGCGGGGTCCGGAGAGAGAGCGATCTAGTGAATGCGGGGTCCGGGGAGAGCGGATCTAGTGAATGCGGGGTCCGGGGAGAGCGGATCTAGTGAATGCGGGGTCCGGGGAGAGCGGATCTAGTGAATGCGGGGTCCCGGGAGAGAGCGGATCTAGTGAATGCGGGGTCCCGGGAGAGAGCGGATCTAGTGAATGCGGGGTCCCGGGAGAGAGAGCGGATCTAGTGAATGCGGGGTCCGGGGAGAGCGGATCTAGTGAATGCGGGGTCCCGGGAGAGAGCGGATCTAGTGAATGCGGGGTCCCGGGAGAGAGCGGATCTAGTGAATGCGGGGTCCCGGGAGAGAGCGGATCTAGTGAATGCGGGGTCCGGGGAGCGGATCTAGTGAATGCGGGGTCCGGGGAGAGCGGATCTAGTGAATGCGGGTCCGGGGAGAGCGGATCTAGTGAATGCGGGGTCCGGGGAGAGCGGATCTAGTGAATGCGGGGTCCGGGGAGAGCGGATCTAGTGAATGCGGGGTCCCGGGAGAGAGCGGATCTAGTGAATGCGGGGTCCCGGGAGAGAGCGGATCTAGTGAATGCGGGGTCCCGGGAGAGAGCGGATCTAGTGAATGCGGGGTCCCGGGAGAGAGCGGATATAGTGAATGCGGGTCCCGGGAGAGAGCGGATATAGTGAATGCGGGGTCCCGGGAGAGAGCGGATATAGTGAATGCGGGGTCCCGGGAGAGAGCGGATATAGTGAATGCGGGGTCCCGGGAGAGCGGATGTAGTGATTGCAGAGTCCTGGGTTTAGTAACACTTTGAATAGCCACTGAATTGCTTTTACATGTGGTGGGAGGGGTCGTCCCCGCCCTCTGGTGCCTCTCCAGCCCACTTGGGAGCCTGGGACTAAAGCTGGCAGTTCTGCCGGCTGACCAGAGAGATGACTGACGACCAGAACTTCCCCAATCATCTCTATGGTATAAGAAACCGGAAACGAGAAGTATTTTGTCACTTCCTGTTTGGACAGAATGTAAGCAGACCAATACTGGCTTGTAAAAAAGATTGGATGTTCAGGCCAGAGGAGAGATTTGGGGTTTATTAGACCTCAGTAGATGTCTCAGTAAAGAGGACCTGTCGCTGCTCCAGCTAGCACACGCTATGTTGTTCATCAATTTGTGATGGCAATAAAAGTGCAATAGAAGTGAAAAAAAATAGTGCAGAAGAAGAAGAAAAAACAAACAATTGAATTACAATAAAACTTTTATTTTGCTCCCACTGTGATCCCACACAAAAGTGAACACATGCATCACTCCTGCACACATATGTAAATGGTGATCACGCCACACGTGAAATATCAGAGCAATAATTATCGCACCCGACTGCCTGTGTAGCTCTAAACTGATGACCTGTAAAGGCTTTTTAAAGTGTCTTCTATGGAGATTTCTAAGTTGTAAGTTCGCCTTTACAGAAAATCTGGGGACGTCCCGCCCCATCCACCTTGATCCCGCTGTACCAGTATCCTGCGATCCTCTGCTGTCTGGCAGCGGGATGCCGCTTCACCATTCTGAGTATCTGAAATCCTCCTGGCTTTCTTTCCTCGCAGACAAGGATGGGCTAGATAGATTCTGATTGGTCAGCACCGTCCATGTGATGATGCTGGCCAATTAGAATGCCTCTGGTCTGTACATGCTGAGAGGTATGGATAGGGGATTAAGCCATGGGGATTTCAAATGCTTGGACCGTTGAAATGGCGTCCTAGTGCCTGACAGCGGAGGATCGTGGGACACTGGTACAGTGGGATCAAGGGGGATGGGGAGGGGCCGTCCAGTGTAAGGTCACCATACAGATTTTCTGTGAAGGTGAACTTGCACTTTTTAGGTACCGCAGTTTCCACGAGCGTGCGCGATCGTCCCACAGGTGAGGTATCGTCATGATCGTCAAATTCTGGGTAGTAATTCTAGCGCCTGACCACCTTCTGAAAATCTAAAGTGGTAACCTGTAAAGACTTTTAAAGCTTCGCCCATGAAGAGTAAAATGTTTGCCGTTTTGCACGGGCAAAAAAAGAAAACCGCATGGCATGTTTGGTATCTATTTATTCGGCGCAATCTCATCTTTTCAATTAAATATGGAATTATTCATAGTCACATGGCCAGGTTGTGGCATATAGCTGTAAATCACTGGACTTTTGGTGGCGGTAACCGGAGGTGAACCCGCCCCGGTCTCAGATGGACCCGCCCCGGTACCGGAGATGGACCCGCCCCCCCCAACCAACCCCTCCCCCCAAGCCCCTAATTTAATGTGTGTAAAAAATATACTGTTTTTAAAATGTAAACAAATTGCCAGAAATAACTTGGAACGGAAATGGTTATTATCGATCTACATTCAGGAGAGGTGGGTCGGTGGCCTTTGGGGGGGGCAGGGTGGAGGTGGGATCTTTCCCGTATTTTACATTTATGCAAGCCACACATGGGTCTAATTCCGAGCAATTTTTCACCCGAAAATCAAAAACGTTCACTCGGTTATCCGATGGTGCCATCAATGATTTCGAAAATCCGCCGACCGAGTCACAAAGTTCACCCCATATAACAGGCGGAACGTCTGTTCCTTCCAGGTCATGGCTCGCGCATATTCTTTTACATAAAAAAACGATCGTACGATTTGACCGTCATTTGAGTCGAAAATCAGTTGTTTTTCAGGAATTTTCCAACATGCCTGATCACTGAAAAGGGGAGGAACCACGAAAATCGGCCAACCAAGTCACAAAGTTCACCCCATATAACAGGTGGAACTTCTGTTCCTTCCAGGTCACGGCTCGCGCATATTCTTTTGGGAAAAACGATTGTATGATTTCACCATTGTTGAGTGGAAAATCGGTCATTTTTCTTGCATTTTCCAACATGCCCGATCACCGAAAAGGGGAGGAACCACAAAAATCGGCTGGTGCCATTGACCCACTAACAGGGCGAAAATCGTCCAATTATTCATGGGTCCGATTTTCTGGCGAAAAAATCGTCCCAGTTTGGCCCATGTATGGCCGGCCTTACTCATGTAGTAGCAGCAGAGGAGAATGTCTGTGTGTCAGGAGTGGTTTGTGTAGGATGAGGCCATCAGGTAACCCAATGTCTATATCCTAGATATGTGTCGGTGGTAACTTTTCTCTCCATTCTCTCTCCAGGCTCCGTGCACTATCCAGTGGGGGATCCATTGCTTCCCCTCCTCCCTCCCCCGCTATGCCAAAGTATAAACTGGCGGAGTATCGCTATGGAAGAGAGGAGATGTTGGCACTTTATATAAAAGAGAACAAGGTGAGTGCATCAGTCCTCCCGATTGTAGAATCCTCGCTGACTACCACTTGTACATCTTTTGAGGTTTGGATTGCCAAAGGCAGTGCTGCTGTACAGCTCTTCATATAGAGAGACCCATTCACATGGAGCCCACAGAGCCAGTCTTGTCTGGTGGTCCACATCACATCTATCCGGTATAGTTTTCTGAACCCCCTTCTGTTATTGTAGACCATACATCCCCGCGTATTAAAGTGGGCATGTCATTAAAAGTCACTTACTTGGCACGGTTGCCTTGCACTGGGCCAGGTATGATTGTCCTTCTGCTGGCCTCCTGCCCTCGTGTAGTACCTGATCTGAGCGTACGTGCGTTATCTGTACCCTTACTACGTGAGTGGGAACAAATGGCTCTAACGTGCTCCAGCATGTGAATGCCACGCTGGTGTGCGTCACTTGTGTACCTCGCACAAGTCCAACAGAACCATGGCCCAGAACATCTCTTTGGGGTCAGATGTGCTTGGGCCTAGTATGAGTACACCCTTAAACTTCATGTAGCCTGTAAAGGAACCGACCCCAGACTGCACTTGGGTACTTTGTTAGAATACCGCTTCCTTGTCTGAACAACAACAGACACCACAGCCGACCATACAAGACTAGACGACCCCAGACTGCACTTGGGTACTTTGTTAGAATACCGCTTCCTTGTCTGAACAACAACAGACACCACAGCCGACCATACAAGACTAGACGACCCCAGACTGCACTTGGGTACTTTGTTAGAATACCGCTTCCCCGTCCGAACACCGACAACAGACACCACAGCCGACCATACAAGACTAGACGACCCCAGACTGCACTTGGGTACTTCGTTAGAATACCGCTTCCCTCTCCTAACACCGACCACAGACACCACAGCCGACCATACAAGACTAGACGACCCCAGACTGCACTTGGGTACTTCGTTAGAATACCGCTTCCCTGTCCTAACACCGACCACAGACACCACAGCCGACCATACAAGACTAGACGACCCCAGACTGCACTTGGGTACTTTGTTACAATACCGCTTCCCCGTCCGAACACCGACAACAGACACCACAGCCGACCATACAAGACTAGACGACACCAATCTTGAAGTAAACCAGGAGGTAGACTACTTTATTTTAACACCGATACAAGATATATACATTCAAGGGGACAATACCCCCTTCCTGTATAATGACACAGGGTGGGGCAATCTACATTTTGTAACAAGAGACACACCAGCAGACAGTCCCATCAGGAGGGAGGGCTGCTGGAGACACCCCCCCCCCCCCCCCCCCCCCCCCAAGCCAATACCCATAAACGCATACATCCCATAATAGTTTGCTCCCAAGCAAGACACACCATAGAACAATGGAATGCTGCCACATGGCGTTAAACAATCAACAACCCCCCACCCCCAATATTAGGACAGATCACCCTGTACCCCTAACAGGCACAGGGTGACTTAGACATAAGAAGGATATGGGGAGCTGAGACAGGGGTCTCCCCACCTCTCCAAAGTGAACTGTGTTCCATGGGCCCCCCACCCAAAGTGACTCCCTAGCCTAAAGCCCAGAACAAGATCTGTTAGCAGAAGCTTTGTGGCTCTTTCATGTTATAGGAGACTGAGCCCTGAGTGATTCACACTGATGCGATGCGGAATTCGCAGCATTAGAATCGCAGCCCGTTCATGCGAACTGCTGCAGGTGTATATGTTAAGTTGACAACATTCCGAAAGCGGTCCACAAAACGCGGAGCGATGTGCAGAATCGGATCGTGTATATATGTGTGTGTGTGTGTGTGTATATATTATTATTTTTTATTTTTATTAGTGGTACACCAAACTGAAAATTATGGTGCTAATACCGAAAATTCTGAATGCAAATGGCCAAAAAAAACCAACTGAAATCTCTGAGTATGTGAGCAGGCTCCACTTTTTTAAAAGCGACACTAGTACTGCCAGGCGGAAGTGCTAACCACTCCACTAAGCCACTGTGCTGCCCATATATATATATATATATATATATATATATATATATATTTTATTTTTTGGTGGAGAGCATAGAATGGCTATCGTTGCAATATTTTATATCGCGGTGTTTGCACAGTGGTTTTTCAGGCGCAATTTTTTGGGGAGAAAATACAGTTTAGTTTAATTCTAATGTATAAAAACCACCATAGATAACCCAATTTTCCAGTTAAATGTGAAAGATGATGTCACGCCGAGTAAAGAGATGCCTAACACGTCACGCTTTAAAATTGCTCATGCTTGTGGAATGGTGACAAACTATGATGCTTAAAAATCTCCATAGGCGACACTTTAAATGTTTTTACAGGTTACCTGTTTGGAGGCACAGAGGAGGTCTAACGCTAGAATTTTATCGCTTTTGCTCTGACATTCGTAGCGGTGCCTCACGTGTGTGGTTTGAACACTGCTTACCTATGTGGGCGTGGCCTAAATATGCGTTCACTTCACAAAAACATGGAGGGATGGGGGCACTTTACTTTTGTTTTTGTTTTTTTTTTTTTTTGTTTCATTTTTTTTGGGGGGGGGGCGGTTTGTTTGTTTTTTATTACACTGCCCCTTTTTAATTCTTTTTTTTGATCACTTTTATTCCTATTACAGGGAATTTAAACATTCCTTGTAATAAAAATATGGGATGACATGTCCTCTTTTGGGCGAGATCTGGGGTCAATAAGCATGGGCATTCTGACACTGGGGGGGGAACTGACTTGGTGTCACTGACATTCCCAGTGACACCAATACAGTGATCAGTGCTAATAAAAAGCACTGATACTGTACTAATGGCACTGGGCAGGAAGGGGTTAACATCTGAGGCGATCAAAGGGTTAACTGTGTGCGGTTTCACTGTGGGGGCTTCACTGTAAGCACACTGCTTTGTATGGCTCTGCTATACGTGGGAACGTAGCCTCCTGCAGTTTCTGAAAGCCATTAGCTGCTAGGACCACTTTCACGAGAGAGCCAGTCCCCAGCTGGGGTTATGGCCGATGGCTTCATCCAAAACCCTGGTAAAGCACTTCCTAACCTCAGCGTATATATACGTATTGTGGTCGGCAAGTGGATAGAACGCTCTTTCTACCACACAAATGGGTAAAATAGATGAATTCTAGGTATGGCATGTTATCTCTGCACTGCTCCATCCGGGACCAGTGTAAATGTGTGTTCCATTCCCAGCCGATGCCCCTGGAACTCCCTGTTGTCAGTCATCTCACTAGCTTCCAGGTCCTGTGCTGAGCGGCTACCCTGCTGCATTATGAACCCCAGGAGGTCCCCCGCTGTGCACGGGTGCCTTTCAGACAATGCGTTTTCTCAGTGGGTGCAAAGCGTTCTGTGATTGGGTGGGGTGGTGATGAAGAAGCCCCAGCGATAACTTAGAGTGCTGCCACCACAGTGCTGGAGGGGGGGGGGGGGGGGTGTCATATTGAGCCAGTATGTGGTTCATCACAGTACATGATGGCATAAAGCTCCCGGGGGGCTTCCAAAGCCCCTGCAGGACATCAGTTTAGTGTGGAGGAGGTCTTGTGCTAGAATTATGGCTCTCACTGCGGTACGTGCGGCTACATGTAATGTGTATTGCAATCAACATTATAACGTGTTACATGCCCTGACGCGTGCGTTTTGCAAAAAAAATAAAATTCTTAAAGCAGAGTTCCACCAAAAAAAAAAAAAAAAAAAAAAGCGGCTACAAAAACTGTAGCTGCTGACTTTTAGAATACAGCCACTTGCCTGTCCCTCGGTCCAGCGGTGTCCTCACCACCACTGGTTTCACCATCCGTCTTCTCTCCCTGGCACCGCCATCTTCATTGTGGGCACCCGGCTGTGACAGCTTGCGGCTTCACAGCCGGGTACCCACTGCGCATGTGTGAGAAGCGCTGCGCTTTGTGAATGGTCCTGTAATCTTCTGGGACCTGTCACGTGTCCCAGAAGTCTACGAGGAGGGAGGGAGGATGACAACTTCCCCTTCTGACTGCCTAGGTCAGGGGTAGGCAGCCAGTGGCTCTCTAGCTGTTGTGGAACTACATTTCCCATGAGGTATTGCAAAGATTACAGAACTGACAGTTACAGCTATGACTTGCAGAGGCATGATGGAACTTGTAGTCCTGCGGCTCTCAGGTTGCCTACCCCTGGCCTAGGTGATCGAAGCGGACGTGTGAGCGGGTACCTGTCAAATTCGGGTACCCGCTCCTCAAAGGTGCCAATCCTTAATGGGGAGCGGGGGACAAAGGCTTTTGGGTGGAGCTCCACTTTAACTTTTTTTTTTTCTTTTTTTAATTATCCCCCCCCCCCCCCCTTTCATCAAACAGGGGACTCAAAATTCCCCTATGTGTTGATCTTTTTCTGTGACAGGTTCTCTTTAATGAGACATGCAGGGTCTGAAACCTCCAATGTCTTCTCTGGGCTCCACTGGATGTATTGCAATACATTGCTCTCCAGCTATTCTAGCCAGGAAAGTGATGGGATGACCCGGAAGTGACGGCATGCACATCGCTTTCCGGGTCACAGCAAGGAGACCCGCCATTTTGGCCACGGGCCTGCAGTTGGGTATGTTGAGCTCGAAAGCCTGGTGTGTAGAAGCAATCGGGCGGCAGCGCAGCAGACTGCTTCCACCTGACAGGCAGGTGTCTGCCTGGAGTGTTTGCAAGCCCCCCAACAAACACACACACCATCAGGTCGTGCGATGAAAGGCAGTTAAAGTGTTAAAGCTCAACTGCTGACCTTGTTGGGTGCCGTAGCTGTGAAATCTGCAGATCAGTTGCTTGATTACACTCACATAGGAGTAGACCATTGAAGGTACATGGCACTTGACTTTCTATAACCCTTCTGGTATCACCTGTGAATCCTTCACCTACCTGGCCACATTTTCCTTATACAGTACATGTTTGGTGGGAGTCACGTGTGCCCGGGACATGTTCCCGAAGATCTCTGTTCATTTCTTTGGATAGGTTACACTTCCAATGGCTAACCCTTTTTTTGTGTTTTTTGTGACGCTGCAGGTTCCAGATGAGATGCAAGACAAGGAGTTTGCTGTGATTCTGAACGAGGAGCCCCTACAGCCTCTGGCTCTCCTGCCTCTTACAGAGGATGAGCAGGTAATGGGAGGGAGCCATGGCGTGTGGCCTGGTCACTCAGATGGTGCAGACGATGAATGGGCCATACTGGGGATATGTAGGATGGGAGGGAGCCATGGCGTGTGGCCTGGTCACTCAGATGGTGCAGACGATGAATGGGACATACTGGGGATGTGGAGGATGGGAGGGAGCCATGGCGTCTGGCCTGGTCACTCAGATGGTGCAGACCGTGAATGGGACTTGGAATGGATAGGCCTAGGAACATACTGGGGACATACTGGGGATGTGGAGGATGGGAGGGAGCCATGGCGTCTGGCCTGGTCACTCAGATGGTGCAGACGATGAATGGGACATACTGGGGATGTGGAGGATGGGAGGGAGCCATGGCGTCTGGCCTGGTCACTCAGATGGTGCAGACCATGAATGGGACTTGGAATGGATAGGCCTAGGGCCATACGGGGGATGTGGAGGATGGGAGGGAGCCATGGCGTCTGGCCTGGTCACTCAGATGGTGCAGACGATGAATGGGACATACTGGGGATGTGGAGGATGGGAGGGAGCCATGGCGTCTGGCCTGGTCACTCAGATGGTGTAGACCATGAATGGGACTTGGAATGGATAGGCCTCGGGACATTCTGAGGATGGGGGGAGGGAGGTGCTGTGTATAGCTCAGGTTCACTCCTGGCTCATAGTAGGCTGTAAAGAAACTGTCATTGTAGAACCGTGAGCCAGCTTACTGTCCTTCAGATTTTAGGGGGACCAGACTGTGGTCACTGAGAATAGCCTCAGCGTCCGTGGGAGCAAATGGGGCCCCATCTTTGGTTTTAGTGGGAGCAAATGGGGCCCCATCTTTGGTTTTAGTGGGAGCAAACAGGGCCCCATCTTTGGTTTTAGTGGGAGCAAACAGGGCCCCATCTTTGGTTTTAGTGGGAGCAAACGGGGCCCCATCTTTGGTTTTAGTGGGAGTTGCTGATACTAGTGGGAGGAATGGCACCCCATCATTGGGTCACTATTCCATCTACAGCTGACACCAGTGGTGAGGCACTATTGCTCCCACATACACCAAGGGCCAGATGGAGCAAAGCAAAGGGCCATATCTGGCCCCAGGGCCGCAGTTTGGAGACCACTGATATAGAGGATGGTATGGCACGTAGGCTGGTATGGTACCGCCACACATTGCATTCAACTCCAATGTAAGGTGAATGAAGAACTGGCTTCAGCTCAGATCCCAGCGCATTGGCCACGCCCCTCTGACCTGTTTCACCCACACTGGGCTTACTCGTCTACGAAACATGCCAGAGGGGCGTGGCCAATGTGCTGGGATCGAGCTGAAGCCAGTTTTTATTCCCCTTACATTGGAGTTGAATACAATGTGCTGCTATATTATATTTTGGAGTGAGATGTTCTCTGCCCCTCCCAGCCCCCTGAATGTAGAGCGTCATCCTGGGAGACTTGACACTGCAGGCTTGGATCGGCACTGCTCTGTGATGGAATATATCAGCGGTGTCAAAAACTCTTTCATCGCTCGCCGCGTCCGCATTCTGGTTCAGAGGGCCAGTTGTATCTGTAAGTCTTGATATCCAGAGGAGCCCCACCCACCATTAATAGTCAAGAGTCCCCCCACCTTCCCTTACATCACAGGGCACCCCTTCCTCCTTTACCTTGTGCTGCTGGGAGTGGAGCTGAAGCAGCAAGTGCAGGGTGTGGAGGAGGACCAGAGTAGGTCTAGAGTCAGCTGAATACTGACACCGGGAGGGAGGAGACCAGGGGGTGCTGCAGCTGCACAGAGAGTATCTGTAGAATCTGTAGGAGGAGTTCTGTCCTTTCTGCTGCTGAGATGGGGTGGGGGTGCAGGGGAGGTCATATTTGGGTACAAGCAGAAACCTAATTTGCCTTGTGGTTGTGAGATCCATCAGTCACATCTCGCTCTCTCTTCAGAGGAACTTCTCAATGTCGGTGAATAGTGTCCCGGTCCTGAGGCTAATGGGAAAGGGTGCCGTGCCACCTAGTGGAGGAGCATCCAGAGGCCGTGGCACAGCACGTGGAAGGGGTGAGATTATTTTTTTTTTTACCCTTCCTTTTGATGATTGTATGGTAAAGGAGACTGTGGGTGCACTAGCCTTTACGTGTTCCTCTGCAGGCCGCGGACGCGCTGATGCGGGTGTATACCAGCGCGCTGTAGATGATGGAGACTCCGGATTTGGCCGTGGAGGACGGGAAATTCACCGGAGTCAGAGCTGGGATGACAGGTGAGCTCTTCCTATAGAAAGTGGTTTGTCCACACTCTGCCCTGCCAGACATGGAAAGACCTCATTACAACCAGCACTTCATGGCCAGACATTTGTGGACACCAGGCCAGACATCTTGAGGAGCTTGCTGTACTTCTCATTCAGCCACTTCCTTACCGGGCCAATTCTCACATTTCTCTCATGTATGTAAAAATCTATTTTTTATTTTTTTTGTAGCAGAGGCCCTAGAGGATAAAATAGCAGCCGCTGCAATTTTTTTGCCTTGCGATATTTCTGCAGCGATTTTATTTTTTTTTCTTTTCTGAAAAAAATACACTTTAATTTTTTTAAAAAAAAATTACATTACACCGAGTAAGTAGATACCCAAAGTGTCACGCTTTAAAATTGCACACGCTTGTGGAATGGCACCAGACTACGGTACTTACTAATGTCCAGAGGCGACGCTTTAAAAAGTTACCAGTTTAGCGTTAGGAGTTCTAATGCTGGAATTATTACTTTCGCTCTGGTGTTCGCAGTGATACCTCACGTGTGGTTTGAACACAGTTTACATATGTGGGCATGACCTACATATGCATTCACCACTGCGCGTGACCACGAGGGCACGGGGACCCGCTAAATGTTTTTTTTTTTTTATATTTTTTTTTTTTTTTTTACTGTCCCTTTTTTTAAAAAAAAAAAATTATTTTTTAATCACTTATTCCTATCACATGGGATGCAAACATCCCTTGTGATAGAAATAAGCAGTGACAGGTCCTCTTTATGGAGAGATCTGGGGTCAATAAGACCCCAATTCACTCCTCTACAATTTAAAACATTATATTTAAAAAAAAACAAAAAACGATCTAATGCTTTCTATAAGAAAAAAAAAAAAAAAGGCCTTGTTTACATTAGGCCGGCAGTGACATAATGACATCGCTCTGGTCCTCCTAGGCCATAGAGATGAGTGGATGCCATCTTCCCTTCACTCATCTCTAGGCCAAGCTGCCACGATCCTCAGATGGGTTTCTGGGGCTCACCGATGCTCCAGGTAAGCCTGAGAACTACCGGACAGCCAAGGGGAGTGGGGGGGTTGTGCGGCATGGTGCGGCATCCCCTCCCGCAGCTTCTAAAAGTGATATAGTGGCCAATCTGCCACTCAGACCACTCTTGGCTAAAAGTGAATCGCCGATTGAAAAATGACAATACTGGGGTTGTGGCACATTGCTGCAGCCATAACCCTGGTATTCCACTTCCAGTCAAGGACGTCTTTTGTCTACGGCCTAGTTGGGAAGTGTTTATAAACCATGAATGTGGGGTTGCCTTCTTCATGGCTTTAATAGCCTCCAGTTTTCTGTGAAGATTTTGGAGGGTGTCTTTGGGAATATGTGGCTATTTATGAGGTCAGATACTGGTGTTGGGTGAGAAGACCTAATTCACAATCGCCATTCCAATTCATCCCAAAGGTGCTCAGTAGGGTTGAGGTCAGGGCTCTGAAGACCACTCTAGTTCTTCCACACCAAACTGGTCAAACCATGTCTTTATGGAAATAATGGTTGAGAAGACCTGGCCCAATTCCAATTCGTCCCAAAGGGTGCTCAGTAGGGTTGAGGTCAGGGATCTGTGCAGGACACTCCAGTTCCTCCACACCAAACTGGTCATACCATGTCTTTATGGAGATAATGGTTGAGAAGACCTGGCCCATTCCAGTTCATCCCATGTTCAGTAGGGTTGAGGTCTGGGCTCTCTGCAGGACACGCCAGTTCCTCCGCACCAAACTGGTTAAACCATGTCATTATGGAGATAATGGTTGCGAAGACCTGGCCCATTCCAATTCGTCCCAAAGGTGCTCAGTAGAGTTGAGGTCAGGGCTCTGTGCAGGACACTCCAGTTCCTCCACACCAAACTGGTCAAACCTTTATGCAGCTGGCTTCACTCTTCTGGGAAGGAATTCCACTCGGATTTGGAAGGATTCTGTGGAATATGTGCCGATTTGTGAGGTCAGGTACTGATGTTGGATGAGAAGACTACCAAGGTTCCAATTCATCCCAAAGATGTTCAGTAGATTTGAGGTCAGGACTCTTGAGTTGCTCCACACCAAACTGGTCAAACCATGTCTTTCTAGAGCTGGCTTTGTGCACAGGGGCACAGTCATGGTGGAGCAGAAAAGGGTCTTCACCAATCTGTTACCACAAGGTTAGAAGAGCAATTGTCTACTGTGTCTTTGTATGATGATGTATTACCTGTACCCTTCATTGCCATCATTTGGACAGGCCACATACTTTTGGTCATACAGTATACTTCTAACACTGTAGGTGCTTACTACAAAAACATAACGGGCAAACGAATTACTATTTCCCTGCATATTGCTCTCCTTTGTTTTTTTTGTTTTTTTATCCATGGGTTCAGCATTATTGACAAACAATTGACCCTTGCTGTGGGGGGTCTAATGCCGGCCGTGCATGGGGTCGAATTCCGAATGAACTTTCTTTAGAAAATCGGAATTTTCGTGCATTTTGTAATCCGATGGCGCCACCATTGATTTCCAAATTCAACCAACCAACCCTTCAATTTCTCCTCATGTTGCTACAGAAAAGCGTTTTCGTGGCCAAGAATTTTCTTTTCTTTCCAGGTCACCGCTCAGGCTTATTTTATTTTTTTTTTCATTTATGACTCTTAAACGATTCTCCCATCATTGATTCGAAATTCGTCTGTTTTTCAAAAGATGTCCAACTTGCCCGATCACTCAGATTTGATGGTTACATGAAAATTGTCCGTTTCTGTGACCCACTAATGGTGCGAAATTTGAATGAAAATTCTTAGAAAAGATTTTCTGAAGAAAATTCTTTCGGAATTAAACCCGCGTATGGCCGGCTTTAGGGTCTTAAGAAGCAACTATACTTCACTTATCACTCATTCCAGTAGGCTTCCTTCCAGCTGCACATCCAGTCCCCTGAGGCGGTTTCTCATTGCCACTCCTTTGGTCACAGGCCCTCTGATGTCGATGCAGGACCAGCAGTCCTATATTGTGAGTGAGGACACTGGGGGCCCGCCCATGACCTGGACCGCCAAAATCCGCACGTTCCTAACCCCAGAAACCACTAATCAGCTCATCCACTCCCTCATCATATCACGACTCAACTACTGCAACTCCCTCCTCACTGGCCTGCCTCGCCGCTGGCTATCCCCGCTTCAGTCCATCCTGAATACGGCTGCCAGACTCATTCACCTTTCCAACCGCTCCATCTCCACCACCCCCCTCTGCCAATCCCTCCACTGGCCTCCACTCAGTGTCCTCCACCCCCCTCTGCCAATCCCTCCACTGGCTTCCATTCAGTGTCCTCCACCCCCCTCTGCCAATCCCTCCACTGGCCTCCACTCAGTGTCCTCCACCCCCCTCTGCCAATCCCTCCACTGGCTTCCATTCAGTGTCCTCCACCCCCCTCTGCCAATCCCTCCACTGGCCTCCATTCAGTGTCCTCCACCCCTCTCTGCCAATCCCTCCACTGGCCTCCATTCAGTGTCCTCCACCCCTCTCTGCCAATCCCTCCACTGGCTTCCATTCAGTGTCCTCCACCCCTCTCTGCCAATCCCTCCACTGGCCTCCACTCAGTGTCCTCCACCCCCCTCTGCCAATCCCTCCACTGGCTTCCGATTGCACAACGGATCAAATTCAAAATCCTAACACTGACGTACAAAGCTGTCCACCATACTGCCCCGAACTACATCTCTGACCTAATATCCAAGTACCGCCCAGCACAGCACGCACACTCCGCTCCTCACAAGACCTCCTTCTCTCTAGTTCCCTGGTCTCCTCCTCCCATGCCCGCCTCCAGGACTTCTCCAGGGTGTCACCCATCCTCTGGAACTCCCTGCCCCAACCCATCAGATTATCACCTACTCTCCTCTCCTTTAGGCGCACCCTGAAAACCCATCTCTTCAGGGAAGCCTACCCACCCCCTGCTAACTTGCCGACCTCCTCCACTCCTCCTACCACTCCATCCCCCACAGCTATCTCCTCCTGTGCCACCATCCCCCCCTCCTAGATTGTAAGCTCCAAGGAGCAGGGCCCTCAATCCCCTCATGTTTTGCATTGTATTGGTATTGTTCTGTCACATGTTCTGTCCCCCATTGTAATGTACAGCGCTGAGCGAACTATTGGTGCTTTATAAATACTGTATAATAATAATAAGAGGATAGCACTGCCTGCCGGGTAGGAAGGAGGAGTACCGCTAGTATAGTTGCCCTTTATGCTCACCCTAGATCAAACGAGTTAACTCTCACAGTGCTGGGGGAGCCACACTCCAAGGACCCTACCCCACCCCAACCCCCAGAGTCCAGACAGGAGATATATAAAGTGCAAAGCAGTTAAAAAACAAAAAAAAAAAATTAGCAAAAATAAAAATTTTATGTAAAATGGATACTATGACTTATGATTTTTTTTTTTTTTTTCCCTCTTAATGAGGGTCTGTCCTTGGCTGTGACTGTGGCTCTAATCACGATTTCTCATTTCAGAGGGGACAGAAGATTTGAGAAGCCCATCCGGAGAGAAAGCTGGTAAGCGTTCATCCCTCCTCGTGGTCAGACAAAACCGCTCTTCTCATGTTCTGCCCTTTGTAAATGATACGGCGACACATACTGAAACACTTGGATTTGGTATGATGTGACTCTTACTTTTTTTTTTTTAGCCACTTCCCGACCGCCCTATATTAGATATATTGCTACAGGCTGGCAGGGGTGTATATATACGTGATTTTGCACTTCCGGGTAGGAGGCGTGCGTGAGTCACGCGCAGGTTACCCATGCCGCCATTCGCAGCCGCTGCTGTCAATCACCGGCCCCCTGGCCAACGATTACCTGCCTGCGCCAGTGATTACCGAGCATCTCCGACGGGGAGGAGGACTGTTTTGTTTACAAACAGTTCTCCCTGTCAGCTCGGGCACACTGCTCTGGATGGCTGCACAGCCATTCAGTGCAGTGTGCTTGCAGTGAAGCACCAACACACCGGCCCCTGATACACCCCCAGCACACAGTTAACCCTTTGATTGGCCAATGATTACCTGCCTGCGCCAGTGATTACCGAGCTTCTCCGACTGGGCGGAGGACTGTTTTGTTTACAAACAGTTCTCCTCCCTGTCAGCTCGGGCGCAGTGCTCTGGATGGCTGCACAGCCATTCAGAGCAGTGTGCTTACAGTGAAGCACCAACACACCGGCCCCTGATAATACACTCCCAGCACACAGTTAACCCTTCGATTGCCCTTCATATTAACCCCTTCCTGCCCAGTCAGTGCTTTTTTTTTTCCCCCCCAATTCTTCCGCCATCGTTCATATTTGAATCTTGCGCCAGCATTTGTTGCACTCGCTCCATCACATCTGGGGTTCTGCTTGTCGATGGCCAACCGGAACGTGGCTCGTCCTCAGTCCCGTCGTAAAAGCGTTTGAACCGCATTTTGTGCTCATGGCTTCCGTGTCCCGTACATTTGCATCAACATTTCATGCATTTCCATCGCTGTTTTTACCAATTTGTGGCAGAACTTGCTGTTCACAACGCAGCAGCTTTACCCTACTGGCAGGGGCTTACTGACAACTCATGGGGCCCCCCGGGCAATAGAGGATCATGGGGCCCCTGTGTCCTTGCCCAAACTCAAAAAAACCTATGAAAAAGGTACCAGGGGCATCTCATGGGGCCCCCTACTGGCCCCGGGCCCTCGAGCAGTACCCGAGTTTCCAAATGGTCAGTCCTCCCCTGCCTGATGGTCAAGTGTACTCCACACTAGGTGGTGCTTCTCGATATGTCTCTGCATAGCCATGTGCATGGACCTGGCCCATGTTGCTGTTGAGATATCGGACCGTTCATCTTTTAGACGGACTGTTTATTGCTATATAGGCCCACCAGATCTTGACCCCCCCCCCTTGACTTCTCATTTTGGAGTATGCTGAAGGAAAAGGTGAATCACCTGAAGGGACGCATCGTGAACAAATGTGCTCAAGCTGACGCTAATGTGGTGTTCACTGCATCGGGTTCATGTGAATCTTGCAAAGCGCATGGAACTTTGCATCATAAATGGTGGAATTCACACTGAAGACGTTATTGATTAACCCCTTCAATACTGGGCACTTATACCCCCTTCCTGCCCAGGCCAATTTTCAGCTGTCAGCGCTGTCACACTTTGAATAATTGCGCGGTCATGCAACACTGCACCCATATGACATTTATAATTTTTTTCACACAAATAGAGCTTTCTTTTGCTGGTATTTAATCACCACTGAGTTTATTTTTTGCTAAATAAAACAAAAAACACAAAATTTTTGAAAAAAAAATGCACTTTTCTTTGTTTCTGTTATAAAATGTTGCAAATAAATAACATTTCTTCATAAATTTAGGTCAAAATGTATTCTTCTACATTTCTTTGGTGAAAATAATAATTGAATTTTTTTTTTTTATTTTTTTTTCTTCTTCAAATGTTTCTATTTTATGTAACTTTTTTTTTTTTCTTGCTTTTACTATTTGTATTGCTTTGGTCACAGTGTGCCGAAAAATAAATGTTACCATAGTAACCTTGAACTACTCTGGACAGGTGATCAGGATTTTAAATTTTTTTTTAACACATTATGATTGCTAATACCGATGTATTTCATTGATATTTGCAATAATTGTTACTGAATGAAACTCATTCATTCTGTCTTTTCTTGTGATTAGCTGTGATTGGGCAAAGCTGATAACATGGTACAGATGGGCTGTGATTGGCCCTGTCTGTATCATGTGACTTGACCAGTCACAGCTAACATAATTGTATACAATGGATGGCATGACAGGAAGCCATCCATTGTATACAATTGACATGATCTGCTGTGATTGGTCACAGCAGTCACGTGACACTGGCAATGGGTCGGTTTAGTGATATGTTATCCACAGGACACAGCCGGTGACAGATGGCGCCGCCCCCAGTGGCTCGTTTTGACAGGACGTCATATGACACCCAGTCACAACGAGAAGTGTCCCGCCCAGCTGTCAGTCTGCTATAGGCCGGGTGGGAAAGTGTTAATATTCCAATGAAATAAAATGTTGAAAATGTTATTGATATTTATTGGAGATAGATAGATAGATAGATAGATAGATAGATGATAGATAGATGATAGATAGATGATAGATAGATGATAGATAGATGATAGATAGATGATAGATAGATGATAGATAGATGATAGATAGATGATAGATAGATAGATGATAGATAGATAATAGATAGATAGATAGATAATAGATAGATAGATAGATAATAGAGATAGATAGATAATAATAGATAGATAGATAGATAGATAATAGATAGATAGATAGATAATAGATAGATAGATAGATAATAGATAGATAGATAGATAGATAATAGATAGATAGATAGATAGATAGATAGATAGATAGATAATAGATAGATAGATAGATAGATAGATAGATAGATAATAGATAGATAGATAGATAGATAGATAGATAGATAGATAGATAATAGATAGATAGATAGATAGATAGATAGATAGATAGATAGATAGATAGATAGATAGATAGATAGATAGATAGATAGATAGATAATAGATAGATAGATAATAGATAGATAATAGATAGATAGATAATAGATAGATAGATAATAGATAGATAGATAATAGATAGATAGATAATAGATAGATAGATAATAGATAGATAATAGATAGATAGATAATAGATAGATAATAGATAGATAGATTATAGATAGATAGATTATAGATAGATAGATTATAGATAGATAGATTATAGATAGATAGATTATAGATAGATAGATTTATAGATAGATAGATTTATAGATGATAGATTTATAGATAGATTTATAGATGATAGATTTATAGATAGATTTATAGATAGATAGATAGACAGATATGCGCATTTTTGCCTGGGTCCAGATTTTTGGGACACCCTGTGTGGTTTTTTTTTTTTTTTTTTTTTTTTCCCTGCCAAAAAGTGTGGACTAAGCATTTACCCGTTCATAAGCAAGTGATTAACCCCCTTCGCCTGGACGTCACACAAATATGCGGCCTCACAGACCTGGGCTGTTTTCCGTGGGGCCGCATATTTGCATACCTGTCTTTCTGCTGGGAGTGTGTGCCGTACAGCGCGTTCCCAGCACAAAGACCGGGGTGTCACTGAGAGCACCAGGTCCCGTTCTAACGATCGGGACACGGGACTCGCGACTCCAGGTCACATGATTGTTGTGATAGCCTCTGATTGGCTATCACAGTGATCAGTCACTGTATAGCCCGCCCCCCTTGTTTTTGTTTTTTCTGAATGGAGGCGAGAGATACATTGTATCTCTAACTCCCAGCATAGAGAGAGAGAGAAACCAAAAAAAAAGTTTGTTAAAAATAGATATTTAAAAATCAAAGAAAAATTACCCAAATCAAGGTTTGATCTAGTTCAGTGCCAGGGTATGTGTTTGGGTCAGGGTCAAAGGTCAGGATTTTTTTTTTTTTTTTTTTTTTTTTTTTTAAATTGGTGTCAGTGTGTTTTAGGTAAAACTAACAAACAACTTGTGCACTATTGTTTCTGGGCTGTACTCCAGGTACAAACAAATAACACACATAGATGGTATCGCTGAGATTAACAGCTGGAAAATGTATTTTAGGTGGTTCTTTGGTGGTAGGTTATGGTAGTGACAAGAAACACAGCTAAATAAAAAAAAAAAAAAAAAAGTTTTGGCTTTTTTTACTATTTTGGGACAGATTTCCTTTGATAATAGAAATAAAAAATCAGAAGATATCCATTACCATTTACCACCAAATGAAAGCCCAATTTGTCCTGAAAACACTGCGGTATAATCCACCCGGATGTACAAGGTATTGGTGATATGTACAGTTTTACTAACACAGGTCAACGTTGCAAATTTGTGCTTAGGCATTAAGATTTGTTTTTGTCTTGGGCATGAAGGGGTTAATGTTGATTTATATTCGGTTTCAGATTTTCCATGAACCCCCTATGCACACTGCTATGCCCCCTTATACACTTTTTAGCAATCATTTGTATGAAGATGGATTCTTGTTCCCATATGTTGTCAGACTGGCCAGCTGCATCAGTGATCCCTGTCTGGCCTTTCCAGCGCAAAATACCAAATACTACCCGTATCATAGCATGCCAATATGGAGGGAACGGAGATGGATGGAGGACAGGTAGAGACTAGGGATGCACCGAAATTCCAGTGGCCGAAACGTTTCTCTGCCGAAAACACCCCTTTCAGCTGTCGGCCGAAATGAAAAAAAAAAAAGCACCGATACAGGTGCCCAAAAAACTCCGCCCCTCAAAGCCGCTCATCTGCCGCTCGGTGATTCAGTCTTACCTGAGAAACCATCGATCCCAGCGCTGGGCATAGAGATGAGAGAAAGGAAAGATGGCTGTAACGGAACCGGACCCCAACTGCACCCGCTCCCCTGTCCGAACTCACATCCACGGACACCACCCTTGAAATCACTCAGGAAATTGACTGCTTTATTTTAACACAGACACAAGATATAAACATTCAAGGGAACAACCTACCTGCCTGCGTAAGGACACAGGGCGTGGCAAACCAAATCTAGCAACCAGAGACACATCAGCAGACCCCCCCCCCCCCCCCCAAGCCAATACACAAACACATACATCCCATAATAGTTTGCTCCCAAGCAAGACACACAATAGAACAATGGGATGCACCACATGGCAGTAAACAATGAACAACCCCCACACCCCACCTAGACATGTCTACACAATATCAGGACATTCCACCCTGTACCCCTAACAGGCACAGGGTGACTTGCACATAAGAGGGATATGGGGAGCTGAGACAGGTCCCCCCCACCTCTCCCAAGTGAGCTGTGTTCCATGGGCCCCCCCACTCAGTCACTCCCGTCACAATGGCTGCCACACATCTCTATGCCCTTGGAGGACCAGAGCGATGTCACTTCCTGTTCCGGCCATTTGTTGTATTTTTATTTTTAAAGCACTAGATCAATGCTTTTTTGATCCAATGCTTTACATTGCAGAGGAGAGATGTGGGGTCTTATTGACCCCCGATGTCTCCATAAAGAGGACCTGTCACTAATTATTTCTATTACAAGGGATGCATGCATTTCTTGTGATAAGAATAAAAGTGATTACAATTTTTTTTAAAAGGAACAGTGCAAAAAAAAAAAAAAGCCATATCTTTGCCCCTGTCCCCCCCATGTAGTGGTGAACGCATACATAGGCCACGCCCACATTTGCAAATGGTGTTCAAACCACACACGTGAGGTACCCCGCCACGAACGTCGGAGCAAGAACAATAATTCTCGCACTAGACCTCCTCTGTCACTTTACACCGCTAACCTGTAGAAATTTTTAAAGCGTCACCCATGGAGATTTTTAAAGCGGAGTTCCACTCACCCTGTCAAAGTCACCAGCTACAAAAACTGTAGCTGCTGACTTTTAAAAAAAACGGCCACTTACCTGTCCCTCGGTCCCCGCGGTGTGTCCCCCGCAGCCCGTTACACCAGCCGTCCTGTATTCCAGGAGGCCGGCACCTTCAGTGTGGGCATCCGGCTGTGACAGCTTGCGGCTTCACAGCCGGGTACCCACTGCGCATGTGCAAGCAGCGCTGCGCTTCATGAATAGTCCTGTAGTCTTCTGGGACCTGCCACGTGTCCCACAAGACTACAGGGAGAGGGAGGGAGGACACCTTCCGTTTCCAATCGCCTAGGCGATCGGACCGGAAGTGGGAGCGGGTTACCTGTCAAATTCGGGTACCCGCTCCCCCCACCCCCCAAAGGTGCCAATCCTTCATGGGGAGCGGGGGAGCAGTGCTTAAAGCGGAACTTCCCCTTTTGGGTGGAGCTCCACTTTAAGTACCGCAGTTTCATGCCATTCCATGAGCGTGTGCAATTTTAAAGCGTGGCATGTTGGGTATCTATTTACTCGCCGTAACATCCTTACATATTTTACAAAACCATTGGGGTATATATTGGTTTTTTTTTTTTGTTTTTTTTAATCAAAGTGTATTTTTTTTTTTTCAAAAAATATATATTCATTTTTAAAAACTGCGCGTTTCAGCCAAGTGCATTTTGAATTTTTGTTTTTGGCCCCAGAATTTTCATTTCGGTGCACCACCCTGTGCAAACCTTTGAAAAAGGTTGTAAGGGCGTATAGCAGTGTGCAGAGGGTTGTATGAGAATTCTGTATTCATGTGGTCATGCCCATCTACCTCCCCATACAATAGAGATGTACACTCATGACTGGTCACTGACCTGTACTATGCAACTGGAACAATGTCTGAAAATAATCCAAATATCATCCAAACACCCTGTTTTTCAGCAAAGATGGAAGGAATAGAAGGATGTGTAGGGTTGCGGTCATACCCCTCCAGTATATTAAATGGTATGCGGTTTGAGCATGAACACAGACATTGTATCAGATCTATTGGAGAAGGTTTAGGTGCCCACAGTACAAACACATTCCCTTCTCCTTTCCAGTGCGAGTCGGGTTTGAGGAAGCCGCTCCTTCTTCACGGAAGGAATTCGCCCGCTCGGACAGCGATAACTGGCGCACGTTGCGTGACGGGCAGGAGGAAGACGAGGATGGGAATTGGAGGCTGTCTGTGTCCCGGAGAGATGACCGCTGGAGGTCACTACCAGCCCCGGAGGGGGAGCAGGTATGTCCTACTACTTTCCTGCCTCTGAGCCTATGTCTGCACTTTGTGTTGTTGTCCCACAATGGTCACTGATTCTCCTGATCTCCCTCAGAGGGTCCCCGCTCCGCTGGATGGAGGGATCACGGTGACCGTCGCAGGAAGTTCGATTTCGAAATGGTGCGGGAGGAAGGCAGTTCAACGCAGCGCGGAGGAAGAGGTTCAGATAGCACACAGGAGGATGAGAGGGACGGCCTTCCCGAATGGTGTATGGAGGATGAGGATGATGAGATGGGAACCTTCGACTCCTCTGGGGCCTTCTTATCCTTCAAGGTATTGGGAGCACCATGTCTTGGAGAACAGAGAGAAAAAAACGGTTTTCTAGAATGTTAGGTTATATATTCTTTATTTCAGGTACCTTTATAGCGCCGTCAATTTACGCAGCACTTTACATATATATTGTACATTCACATCAGTCTCCGCCCCCGAGGAGCGTACAATCCATAACTCACATTCATACATATACATACTGGGGACAATTTGGACATGATCCAATTCACTTACCAGCATGTCTTTGGAGTGTGGGAGGAAACCGGAGTACCCGGAAGAAACCCACGCAGGCACAGGGAGAACATGCAAACTCCAGGCAGGAGGTGCCGTGGCTGGGATTCGAACCAGCGACCTGAGTTCTGCCAGGTGGAAGTGCTAACCATTTAGCCACTGTGCTGCCCCATATATATCTTTAAAATATGAATAAACTGGTGTTTGTGACTCCTAATTATCAACAAACCCCAAGGTTTAAACCACCGCGCCTCTAGATTCCAAATATAATGCACAAAATTAAAGAATATATTATTTAATTTTGTGTGTTATATTTGGAATCTAGAGGCACGGTGGTTTAAACTTTGGGGTTTGTTGATTTTTGATTTTGTCACATCTTCATAATATTTATAATTGGGTGATAATTATCCAATTATAAATATTATGAAGATGTGACAAAATTATATAAACTATAATATAAAGGTTATATATAGTTACATATTCTGGCTGAAAAAAGACAAAAGTCCATCCAGTTCAACCATCCAATGGACTACCCACAAAATTATGGAAACACCAGGTAAAAGAACGAAATGTCGTTATCCAATATGGTGTTGGACTGCCTTTTGCATCCAAGACGGCCTGAATTCTCCTGGGAATTGACAAATCTAAGTCTTGGGGGGAAAAGTCTCGCATGGTGGACAATGGCATCTGATCTTCATGCAAAAATCATTTCTGTTCTCGCAGAGATGGCGGAGGGCGGAAAACGAGCCTGAACTAGTTACATAGTTAGTTTGGCTGTAAAAGACAAAAGTCCATCCAGTTCAACCATTAAAAAAAAAGTTATAATCCTACACCCACAGTTAATCCAGAGGAAGGCAAAAAAAATCCAATTTGCTCCTGCAGGGGAAAAAATTCCTTCCTGATCCCCCGAGAGGCAATCGGATATTCCCTGGATCAACTTTCCCTATAAATGTTATATTCTGTGTATCCAAGAAAGGATCCAGGACTTTCCGCCAGCAATCCGCTGAGCTGGCCACAACCAACTCTTGAGGTTTCTGAATATAATCCTCAACCAACGGCTGTCATAGGGGTCTCATTTTTTGCATACAATGTAGGATACAGTCCATGGTGCAGGTACATTATGGGAGGGGTGACTATCATGTCATATGATGGATGATACCATGTCTTATGTTCTAGAAAAACCCCAAGGAGACCATTGTGGAGGAGCAGGAGCTGGAGTTCCAGGGGGTGGATGAAGAAGAAGAGGAAGAGAAGGCGGATAGCACAGGAGACAAGCTTAATGGTGAGTGCCCAATATTGCATGCAAACCACAAGTAGTGCCGCACTGCCCCTGTGATGTAGTGTCGGGGTGCAGGTTGGCCTCGTGAGGGTAAAGGAAAAATGTGACTCTTAAGGCTCCATGTACACTGCAGCTGATAAACGGACGTTTAGGAGCCTTTCTGCATTTTTTTTTTTTCAGCAGCCCCTGAACTCTCCCTAATGTTTTCCTATGTGTCCGTGTACACATCTTCATTTACAGGCAGTTGAGTTTAGTCGTTTTTTTTTGAACGCTACAAACTTGCGTTCAGATGTTGATTTTATCAGCATTCCAAACGCTTGTAAACGTGGCTAACTGCGTTTATTTGCGTTTGGAAAACTTTTTTAACTCTTCCATTTCCAGATGCTGTCCAGAGCCTTTTTTTCATCATGAAAAATGCATGCAAATCGTTTTCCCGGTACTCAAATGGACCTGGTACACCAGACCTTGAGGTTTCGCATGAAAAGAAATGTTAAGACTGCTGCAATAATTTCTGCACAGAAAACGCATCCAAACGCCACAAAAATAAAAACCAGCTAATCACAACACATACTGCTTTCTCTGCTTCTGCTCTCTCTCTTTCTCTCAAAATGTCTGAAATAGTTCATTTTTTACTGTATTTTTTAGTGCATTCTGGGCGTTTTTGGAAGTTCTGAGGTTACCTCTAAACTCTTCTAAACAAAAACATAGGTTAAAAAACAGACGTTTTTTTAACCTACGTTTTCCAGCAGTCTGTTTGCATCGTTCAGAAAGTGTTTTTTCCAAACGCCCCGTGTACATGGAGCCTAATACTTGCTACAGCAGCTGCTTTCCTTACATCCTGCGGCGGGGAGGGCACACGTGGCTGAGGTGTATCAGGGGGCAAGCACCAGCATTGTCACAGAGTGAGCCACATAAACGTCCATACCTGGAAATTCCAGGTATTTTCTTTAATTCCTGCTGCTGGGGCCACCTTTTATATTATAATACAGGATTTATGGCGCCAACAGTGTGCTCAGCGCTTTACAATATAACAGGAGACAATACAGTTCAACACAAGAGGGTTAGGAGGGCCCTGATCCCTGGAGCTTACAATCTAAGATCACACTCTTACTCTGCATTGACAACACGGGTTCACTTTAAAGCAGCGTTCCAGTTGAATTGAAGGGGGGGGGGGGGGAAAGTCAGCAGCTACAAAAACTGTTGATGCTGACTTTTAAAAATACAGACACCTGTCCCTCGGTCCCGCGGTGTGTCCCCCGCAGCCTGTTTCACCGGCCGTCCTGTATTCCAGGAGGCCGGCATCTTCAGTGTGGGCACCCGGCTGTGATAGCTTGTGGCTTTACAGCCGGGTACCCATTGCACATTTGTGAGTAGTGCTGCACTTCATGAATGGTCTTGTAGTCTTCTGGGACCTGTCATGCATCCCAAAAGACTACAGGGAGGGAGGGAGTTAGGACACCTTCCCCTTCCGGTCACCTAGGCGATCGGACCGGAAGTGGAAGCAGGTACCTGTCAAATTCGGGTACCCGCTTCCCCCCCTTCCCGCCCCCCAAAGGTGCCAGTCCTTAATGGGGAGCAGTCCTTAAAGCATAACTTCCCCTTTTGGGTGGAGTTCCGCTTTAATCACAGCTGAGCTTACATTTCTTTATATATTTGAATAAAGGTTACATAGTTTAGATTCATCAGATGGTGGTGCAGAGGCTGGCCCTCGTCTTTCACCGGCCGTTGTCTCTCCCCGGCGCCGACATCTTCAAGGCTGTGATAGCTTGCGGGGGCCCACTGCACATGTGCGAGAAGCGCTGCGCTTTGTGAATGGTCCTGTAGTCTTCTGGGACCTGTCACGTGTCCCAGAAGACTACGGGGAGGGAGTGGGGAGGACTACTTTCGCTTCCAGATGCCTTAGCTGATCACACCGGAAGTGGGAGCGGTTTCCTGTCATTCAAAATAGTCTGGGGAAAAAACAGAAGGAAATTAAAATAACATGAGTTACAAAATCAAAATAAATTTTAACAATTTGACAAAAACAAAAACTAGCCGCCTTCGAAGTGAACTCCGAGAGTCAAACCTCCTCCGCTCATCCACGTGCAGTATAGGAAATCTAGAGTCTAATCTAGAGTTTTACCGTATGGATACATCTATATCCCAATTCCTATTCAAGGGTTGATGGAAGGATCGTTACCTCACAGTAGACCCAATGGGGTTCCACCGCTTAAAAGGGAAGAATATTTTTAAAAAAAAATTTCAGATATATTTTTCTTCCATATGGGAAGCAGGGATGAAAACTGACCACGTTTAGCATGGACCTGCTTTTGTACTTCTCGTGGTCATAAGGGGCTTCCTATAAAAGGATGACCCGGGATTTACTGAGTTTTCGACACTCTATTTAAGTGAATGCTTCGTATGTTTTCATTGGGAGGAGGAAAAGAAAATCCTTTCCTGTCTTTTATAATAAAGGTTAACACAAATTGTATCACTGTGCACCTACAGGAGAAGATCTGTCGGTCCCCTCTGAAGAAATCTCCCAGGAGCCTTCCTCTTCCTCTCCTGACTCAGCCAATCCCCTGTGGTCATCGGGGATGTTCGGGGAGTTGGAGAGCGATCGATGCCCGGAGATTTCCTCCACCCCTGAAGCAGAAGGTGCAATTCCCGGCGAGCAGACTCCGCTCCCAGCTGACGATGGTGAGAAGAGGTGTAGTTACTAGTGCTGCTGTTTTTGGCGTTTGCTCAACTATTTTAATTGGTGCTCCTTACTTTTTAGGTGGAGATTCTGGACCCTTTATTCCCTCCCCCCTGTCCTCTTTGCCGCCTCCTTCCTCTAGTCCCCCCATTGCTGCTACTGAATTCTCTGTGGGGGATCCAGAGGAGGACGAAGGCATGAAGCATCTCCAGCAGGTAAGTCATTCTGAACAGATTTAACTCTCTTACCTCCTTTAGTGTTTCCAATTCTAATTCGCCCTCTGTTTGTCTCCACCCTCAGGCGACGCCCTCTATATGTTTGTCTCCACCCTCAGGCGACGCCCCCTATATGTTTGATTCCACCCTCAGGCGACGCCCCCTATATGTTTGTCTCCACCCTCAGGGCGACGCCCTCTATATGTTTTGTCTCCACCCTCAGGCGACGCCCTCTATATGTTTGTCTCCACCCTCAGGCGACGCCCTCTATATGTTTGTCTCCACCCTCAGGCGACGCCCCCTATATGTTTGTCTCCACCCTCAGGCGACGCCCCCTATATGTTTATCTCCACCCTCAGGCGACGCCCTCTATATGTTTGTCTCCACCCTCAGGCGACGCCCTCGATATGTTTGTCTCCACCCTCCTCTTATTTAAATATTTAATACCCTGCCGCTGTCCTCTGTGCATGTACCTGACTGTGTTCTGTGCCCCCCCCCCCCCCCCCCCCCCCCCCCCCCCCCCCCCCACCCCCCCCCCCCCCCCCCCCCCCCTCCAGACTTGTGCTCATACCTGACTCTGCTTTCTCATGTGACAGGAAGCGGAGAAGTTGGTGGCTTCTCTGCAGGATTCTTCCCTGGAGGAAGATGGCTTCTCTTCCACCCGCTCTCACAGTGCTGCTGCTCTGCCCCTCAGCCACGAGGCTGCCATGAAATGGTTCTACAAGGACCCTCAGGGGGAGATCCAAGGTAGGTCATGTGATGCCTACAAATTTCTTAGGTGGGGGTATATGCTGAATGGGCGGGTGGTCTCCACTTACAGCTTGCTTACCTCTTAACTCGCCTTCTCCTCCATACAGGTCCATTCAGTACGCAGGAAATGGCTGAATGGTGCCAAGCTGGGTACTTTACCATGTCACTGTTAGTGAAGAGAGGATGTGACGAAGGCTTCCAGCCCCTGGGTGAGGTCATCAAGATGTGGGGACGGGTTCCCTTCGCTCCTGGGCCCTCCCCACCACCCTTACTGGTGAGATGCATTGCATTCTGTAACAATAAGGACACGAAGGCTAGGTTCACCTATGTGCGGGTGGTGTGGCTGCGAATCCACACAGGAATGTGGACCCGTTGGCGGGTGCCATTACTTCTGGAAACGCAACCGTACTGGGTACTGAGGTTCCCGTGCGCGCTGCGTTTTCAGAAGTGCAGGGACTTCTTCAAATGAATGGGCTCTCGTGCCTGCACAAAACGCGGCCTGCACAGTCGCATATATGTGAACCGGGGGTAAATACTGCTGGCTCTGTTATATCAAGAGTACCGTGTTTTCAAATATCACATGTTTTATGATAATGCTGTAATCGCTTAAAGTGGAGCTCCGCCCAAAAAGGGAAGTTGCACTGTAAGGCTTTGTGCCCCGCTCCCAGTTAAGGATTGGCATCTTTCGGGGAGGAGGGGGGAGCGGGTACTTGTCAAATCATCTAAGGCGATTGGAAGCAGAAGTTGGGAATTTGGGATAACACTGACTTTATATTTGTTACACATTCCCTTCCCATAGCATACCTTAAAACGTCAAATTTTGACTGCAGAGGTGGAAACACTCTTCAAGGTAATTCTTTGCCGTGGCCTCCAATGTTTTTATTGTATTGATTGTAAATGTTCGTAGATAACCACTAGAAGACTATTCACTACATTGACTATGCCTAAGGGTGCAACTGACTCATAGACTTGCATTCGAGAGGGTGCTGCAAACCAGGAAGATCTCATGTATCCAAGTCCTCATGCACATGGGGGGGGTCTGTTAATCCACTCTGAACACCCAGAAGTCCTGGGGGATGAAAAAAAAATCCTTAAAGCGAAGCTCCACCCAAAAGGGGAAGGTCAGATTTAAGCCTTTGTCCCCCGCTGCCCAGTAGGGGGCAGGTACCCGAATTTGACAGGTACCTGCTCCCAGTTCCGCTGCCTAGGTGATTGGAAGTGGAAGTTGTCCTCCCCCCTCCCCATAGTCTTCTGGGACATGTGACAGGGACCTGCTCCCACTTCCGCTGCGATTGCCTAGGTGATTGGAAGTGGAAGTTGTCCTCCCCCCTCCCCATAGTCTTCTGGGACATGTGACAGGTTCCAGAAGACTACGGGGCCATTCACAAAGCGCAGAGCTTCTCACACATGCGCAGTGGGCCCCCCCCCCGCTTTGAAGCCACAAGCCACCACACTGACTATGCCGGTGAAAGCAGCCATGGTGAGGACCCCGCTGAACTGAGGGACAAGTAAGTGTCTGTATTTTAAAAGTCAGCAGCTACAGTTTTTTTTTTTTTTTCTTTGTTTTTTTTTGTTTTGTTTTTTCCAGGTAAAATGCCTAAAGCTGCATATTTCACATGCGTTTAGGCTCATGTGGCTTTTGAGCGTTAGTGCATTCCATTGGTCAGAATATTCATTTTGGCCATTGGAGTCGATGGTCCAACACGAAGCGTGTTCAGGAACGTCTAGTGTTTTATCTGTTTTTTAGCTTCTTTCCTGAACACAGCTTTTGTTTTGTTTTCAGTTTGTACATTTCTCTTTTCTAATACTCCTGTAAATGCCTGTGTGTGTATGGCCACATGTCGTACAAAGAGATGCTTTTACAGGCTGAAAAACAAAACAAGCGACCTTAAAAGCAGCGTGTTTTTTTTTTTTTTTTTTTCCAGTCCAGAGGCCTGAAGAGTCAGTATGGCTGTCCACATGTATATATTACAAATAGTCTTTAAAACAACCCCTAACACATGTAGGGTGTCAGAAGTGTACGTTGTAAAGCCCACACACTATGGGCAGCGCTGGGCGCTCAATGTTTCTGTGCTAAGAGCATGCTTACTGCACTCTCCCAGCACAGAGACGGAGCTTTGAAGGACCGCTCCTGGTCCCCATTAATGGATAGTTGGCGGGAACGACAACCGATCATGTGACCACTAAAAATGGTCACGTGATCAGCTGATCTTTTCCCACCCCCCTGCCGTTCAGAAATTTTTAAAGGGACGCTGGGGCAGGTGGGAAATGGCTACATGTGTATGGAGGTGGTCCCTTGCAGTGAAAAGCAGTCAGCCAAAGATGCGTGTTTGAGGCGTCATTCACACCGGCATACTATGGCTGTGCTTACTTGCACAGGGATGTACAGGTGTTCCATGCACCCCATGCAGGCAGCCCCATTGAAGTCAGTTGGGATGAAGCCCCTGCATGTGCACAACCCCCGACCGCAGGCGAGGCCTTTGCTGCCACCAATGTAAGCCTTATGTCAGCAACAAAGGGTTAAAGGGAATTTGTATAATGTGACCACTGGTACTGCCAATCAGTGGTCATGTGATCGGCCGATCCTTCCCGCCTCCCCCTGACATAAAGACCCGGTTAAGATTCTGTTTTTATATGCTTACAAATGTAATGGGTTTATTTTCATGGGAATTTGTGATCCAAATACATTGCGGACATTGTCCAACGCAGCAATAATCCGAATATGGCCCAGCAAGCAAATACAATTTCCCTTTATATGAAGTATGGCTTCCATTAGTTTGTAGGAGCAGAAATGACCTCTCCTGTCTCTATGACCCAGAATAAAGATGGATGGAACCACAACTTGAAAAAATTGGACCACCAATGCATATAGGGTTGTGCAGCTGTAAACAAGGCTGGGGATGCCCGACCAGTACTGCAAAGTGAAACAAAAAGAGCGCATCAACCTTGCGCATTACCTCAGTAAACCATAATTGTATTACATTCAGAATGATACAAACAACAAAGTAAATCAAGCATGTAAGTCCTCAAAGGAACTGTAGAAATGTGAAGCCTGTGCGAGTCCCATCGTAGGAGTAGACGGAGTATGGCTGACGCGTTTCGAAGGGCAGCCCTTCTTCACAGGCTTCACATTTCAAACTTCCTTTGAGGACTGACATGCTTCATTTACTTCGTTGTTTGTATCATTCTGAATGTAATACAATTATGGTTTACTGAGGTAATGCGCAAGGTTGGTGCACTTTCTTTTTTGTTTCACTTTTCAATTCGTTTCTTTTTCAATGGACAAGTTATGATGGGTCTTCTGCGGTCACACTGGTGCTCCCCATTCTGTTTCTGAAGTGTCTGCTCTGTCTCCTGTAGGGTAACATTGATCAGCAGTGCCTGAAGAAACAGCAGGAGCTCGCCCTCTACCAACAGCTGCAACACCAGTATCTGCTGCAACTGCTTAGCAGGTAGAACTGTCTCTCTCTCGGCTCCCACCCCTCTTTCGCCCGTCTCTCTCTCGGCTCCCCTCCCCGCTTTCTTTCGCCCGTCTCTCTCTCGGCTCCCCGCCCCTCTTTCGCCTGTCTCTCTCTCTCCCCGCCCCCTTCGCCCCTCCTTCTCGCCCGTCTCTCTCGGCTCCCCGCCCCTCCTTCGCCCGCCTCTCTCGGCTCCCCGCCCCTTCCTTCGCTCCCGCCCCTCCTTCGCCCGTCTCTCTCTCTCGGCTCCCCGCCCCTCCTTCGCCCGTCTCTCTCTCTCGCCCCCGCCCCTCCTTCGCCCGTCTCTCTCTCGGCTCCCCGCCCCTCCTTCGCCCGTCTCTCTCTCGGCTCCCCGCCCCTCCCGCCCCTCCTCTCGCCCCCCCCGTCTCTCTCTCGGCTCCCCGCCCCTCCCTCGCCCCTCTCTCTCGGCTCCCCGTCTCTCTCTCGGCTCCCCCCGCCCCCTCTCTCTCGGCTCCCCGCCCGTCTCTCTCTCGGCTCCCCGCCCGTCTCTCTCTCGGCTCCCCGCCCGTCTCTCTCTCGGCTCCCCGCCCGTCTCTCTCTCGCTCCCCGCCCGTCCCTCTCTCTCGCTCCCCGCCCGTCTCTCTCTCGGCTCCCCGCCCGTCTCTCTCTCGGCTCCCCCCCGCCCGTCTCTCTCTCGGCTCCCCGCCCGTCTCTCTCTCGGCTCCCCGCCCCTCCCGCCCGTCTCTCTCTCGGCTCCCCGCCCCTCCTCGCCCGTCTCTCCTCCCGGCTCCCCGCCCCTCCTTCGCCCGTCTCTCTCTCTCCCCGCCCCTCCCGCCCCTCCTCCGCCCCCGCCCCTCCTTCGCCCGTCTCTCTCTCGGCTCCCCGCCCCTCCTTCGCCCGTCTCTCTCTCGGCTCCCCGCCCCTCCTTCGCCCGTCTCTCTCTCGGCTCCCCGCCCCTCCTTCGCCCGTCTCTCTCTCGGCTCCCCGCCCCCCTTCGCCCGTCTCTCTCTCGGCTCCCCGCCCCTCCTTCGCCCGTCTCTCTCTCGGCTCCCCGCCCCTCCTTCGCCCGTCTCTCTCTCGGCTCCCCGCCCCTCCTTCGCCCGTCTCTCTCTCGGCTCCCCGCCCCTCCTTCGCCCGTCTCTCTCTCGGCTCCCCGCCCCTCCTTCGCCCGTCTCTCTCTCGGCTCCCCGCCCCTCCTTCGCCCGTCTCTCTCTCTCGCCCCCCCGCCCCTCCTTCGCCCGTCTCTCTCTCGGCCCCCCGCCCCTCCTTCGCCCGTCTCTCTCTCGGCCCCCCGCCCCTCCTTCGCCCGTCTCTCTCTCGGCTCCCGCCCCCCCCCCCGTCCTCTCGCCCCCGTCCCTCTTCGCTCTCTCTCTCGGCCCCCCGCCCCTCCTTCGCCCGTCTCTCTCTCGGCCCCCCGCCCCTCCTTCGCCCGTCTCTCTCTCGGCCCCCCGCCCCTCCTTCGCCCGTCTCTCTCTCGGCCCCCCGCCCCTCCTTCGCCCGTCTCTCTCTCGGCCCCCCCCCCCTCCTTCGCCCGTCTCTCTCTCGGCCCCCGCCCCTCCTTCGCCCGTCTCTCTCTCGGCCCCCCGCCCCTCCTTCGCCCGTCCTCTCTCGGCCCCGCCCCTCCTTCGCCCGTCTCTCTCTCGGCCCCCCCGCCCCTCCTTCGCCCGTCTCTCTCTCGCCCCCCCGCCCCTCCTTCGCCCGTCTCTCTCTCGGCCCCCCGCCCTCCTTCGCCTCTCTCTCTCGGCCCCCGCCCCCCTCCTTCGCCTGTCTCTCTCTCGGCCCCCCGCCCCTCCTTCGCCCGTCTCTCTCTCGGCCCCCCGCCCTTCCTTCGCCTGTCTCCCCTCGGCCCCCCCGCCCCTCCTTCGCCTGTCTCTCTCTCGGCCCCCCGCCCCTCCTTCGCCTGTCTCCCTCTCGGCCCCCCGCCCCTCCTTCGCCTGTCTCCCTCTCGGCCCCCCGCCCCTCCTTCGCCTGTCTCCCTCGGCCCCCCGCCCCTCCTTCGCCTGTCTCCCTCTCGGCCCCCCGCCCCTCCTTCGCCTGTCTCCCTCTCGGCCCCCCGCCCCTCCTTCGCCTGTCTCCCTCTCGGCCCCCCGCCCCTCCTTCGCCTGTCTCCCTCTCGGCCCCCCGCCCCCCTTCGCCTGTCTCCCTCTCGGCCCCCCCGCCCCCTCCTTCGCCTGTCTCCTCTCGGCCCCCCGCCCTTCCTTCGCCTGTCTCCCTCTCGGCCCCCCGCCCTTCCTTCGCCTGTCTCCCTCTCGGCCCCCCGCCCTTCCTTCGCCTGTCTCCCTCTCGGCCCCCCGCCCTTCCTTCGCCTGTCTCCCTCGGCCCCCCCGCCCTTCCTTCGCCTGTCTCCCTCTCGGCCCCCCGCCCCTTCCTTCGCCTGTCTCCCCTCTCCTTCGCCCCGGCCCCCCCCCTCCTTCGCCTGTCTCCCTCTCGGCCCCCCGCCCTTCCTTCGCCTGTCTCCCTCTCGGCCCCCCGCCCTTCCTTCGCCTGTCTCCCTCTCGGCCCCCCCCGCCCTTCCTTCGCCTGTCTCCCTCTCGGCCCCCCGCCCTTCCTTCGCCTGTCTCCCTCTCGGCCCCCCGCCCTTCCTTCGCCTGTCTCCCTCTCGGCCCCCCCCCGCCCTTCCTTCGCCTGTCTCCCTCTCGGCCCCCCGCCCTTCCTTCGCCTGTCCCTCCCTCTCGCCTGCCCCCTCTCGGCCCCCCGCCCTTCCTTCGCCTGTCTCCCTCTCGGCCCCCCCGCCCTTCCTCGCCTGTCTCCCTCTCGGCCCCCCGCCCTTCCTTCGCCTGTCTCTCTCTTGCCCCCCCCCCCCCCCCCCCCCCCCCCCCCCCCCCCTGCCTCATCTCCCACTTTCTCTCTCCCACCCAATCTGGGAGCCGAGCTCAGTGGCCCTCCGGTAGAATGACCATTGCTGTATAATCTCACACTGTCATGTTTCCTGCTTACAGACAGCAGTACTCCCAGCAGAAATCCGGAGATCTGACTCCGCAGCAGCAGCAGCAATTGACACTGTTCCTCCAGCAACTGAACCCTTCAAAGTCCAGGTATCCACACTGCTGGGGGGTAAAAGACTTCAGGTCATGGGAAGGGGGAGATGGTGTAGTATACCATAGCAACAGTTTGTTTTCTGTTTTTCTTCTTACAAATACATATTTTTTTTTAACCACTTACCCTCGTGAGGGTAATTTACCCTTCCTGACCAGGCCATTTTTTGCGTTACGGCGCTATGTTACGTTAACTGACAATTGCGCGGTCGTGCAATGCTGCACCTAAAACAAATTTTTCAGAAGAATTGAGCTTTATTTTGGTGGTATTTGATCGCCTGTGCGTTTTGTTTTTTTTTAATTATTTTTGCGCTATAAAAAACAACCTGACAATTTTGAGAAAATATTTTTGACTTTTTGCTATTAAACATGTCCAGTAAATTTAAAAAATCAAATTTCGTCATAAATTTAAGCAAATGTTTTCTGCTCCATGTCTTTGCTAAAAACAATCCCAATACGTGTAAATTGGTTTACGTGAAAGTTATGGCGGTATAGATACTGGGTTTTTTTATTTTATTTTTCTAGTAATGGCAATCGGCGACTTATTGCGGTACTGCGGCAGACATTCTGACACTGGGGGGGAACTGACTTGGTGTCATCGACATCCCCAGTGACACCAGTACAGTGATCAGTGCTTTTAAAAAGCACTGACACTGTACTAATGGCACTGGGCAAGAAGAGGTTAACAATGAGGGGCGATCAAAGGGTTAACTGTGTGCTGGGAGTGTTTTTACTAGGGGGGCGGGATGTGTGTGATTCACTGTGATCACACTTATTATTATTATACAGTATTTATATAGTGCTAAAAGGTTTGTTCAGCGCTGTACATTATAGTGGGGGACAGAACATGAGACAATACAGTAACAATACAATACATGAGGGGTTCGAGGGCCCTGATCCTTGGAGCTTACAATCCAGGAGGGAGGGGATGGTGGTACAGGAGGAAGTGGCTGTGGGGGATGGAGTGGTGGGAGGAGTGGAGGAGATCGGCTGTTAGGTGAGGTTGGGGTAGGCTTGACTGAAGAGATGGCTTTTCAGGGTGCGCCTGAAGGTGAGTAGGGTAGGTGACAGTCTGATGGATTGGGGTAGTGAGTTCCAGAGGATGGGAGAAGTCCTGCAGTCGGGTGTGGGAGGTGGAGACCAGGGAGCTAGAGAGTAGGAGGTCTTGTGAGGAGCGAAGATTACGGGTTGGGTGGTATTTGGGTATCAGGTCGGTGAGGGAGTTTGGGGCGGCGTTATGAATGGCTTTGCATGTCTGTGTTAGTAGTTTGGATGGCAACTGGACTACTCTGGATGGCTGTGCTGTGCAGTGTGCCCAAGCTGACAGGGAGGAGGACTATTAGTAAACAGTCGTCCTCCTCGTGGGTGATTTGTAGGAAATCACCAGGCGCTGGCGAGTGATTACCGGCCGGGGCACGGTAATTGACAGCCACGAATGGCGGCCATGTGCACTCCCCCTACCCGGTAATGCAAAACACGTGATTTTGCACGCACGTGCCGCCCTGTAGCTGTATTTCTGTATAGGGCAGACAGGGAGCGGTTAAGTGAAAACTGTAGCAAACTGCTGGTTATGACATTGTTCTGTTGCCGCTTTCCTTCTGGCAAATGACATACTGCGGCATTTCTGCAAACGAGGGCGACAGCAGTCAACCTCTTAGCGAATCTGTCGATGCCACCACTGTGACGAGGAATTTGGATCTTGCATGTTGTGTTTCTCAGTCAGCGACTGCTAGTACTGGGCCACGAACAACTGGTGGTGACAAGTTCAGTGACATCAGCATTTGACAATACCGGAGAGATGTGCTGATGTGAGGTTGCATGTCACCATGTGGAGGAAATAGAATCGAATATTTATCTTGCTGTCATTTTTTCCGGTGATCTCACAACCCCCGTCTCTCCCGCAGAGGTTCCGATGCTGCCCTCCTTCCCTCTATGAACAGATCTCTCTCTGTGCCAGACACTGGATCCCTATGGGATCTGAATACCTCAAACACAACGACTGCAGGTAAGTGATGTAAATAATTCTTTCTGTTCCAACAGCAAAGCTTTGTTATTGCAGCAGTTAGGCTCGGGTCACATCTCTGCGGGTGGTGCCGCTGCGGAAACCGCACGAAAATCCGTGCAGCCACACCACCTGCATAGAGAATTGTGGACCCGTGGGCGGGTGCCATTCGTTCTAATGGCACGCCGCCCGTGCTGGAAAACGCAACCGTACTGGGAACCGAGGTGCATTTTCAGAAGTGCAGGGATGACTTCTCTGCGTGTCACGCGGCACGGGAGTCCATTCAATGAATGAGCTCCTGTGCCCGCACAAAACGCGGTCCACATGGCTGCATACATGTGACCCATGGCTAAAGGGGAACCTGTGAGCTCAGGTATCCCAAGAAGGGCAAAAAGTGGCTTTCATGCCATGGCAAGCATGGTAGCTGTTTGACTTACCAATGTATCTTACACTTTGTCACCAGTGTGTCCCATCACCTCACAGTTTGTTCCTTCTTCAAAGGTGCGGACCCCAATCTGTGGGACCTGCCAGTCACAGCTGTATCTCAGGGGCCAATATTGGAGCAGCTGCAACTGCAACAGAAGGTAATGTCCTAAAAATCCCAATACAGTGTCCACAATAGTAGGACAGTGGAAATCGCCATTGCAAAGATTACGTAGCATCCAGGAGTCCTAGGAGAGCAGGTTGGAGCTGTTCCACACTCCTCGTAGAAGACTGAATTGCAAAAGAGCGGCCATTGATGTCAGCGTTTTCATTTTATTATTATACCGGATTTATATAGCGCCAACAGTTTGCTCAGTGCTTTACAATACAGTTCAATACAGGGTTAGGAGGGAGCTTACAATCTAGGAGAGAGGGGCTGGTGGTACAAAAGGTAATAACTGTGGGGAATGGACTGGTTAGAAGAATAGAAGATTCCATTATTGGCTGAGGGCAGGATAGGCTTCCCCGAAGAGATCGGTTTTCAGAGATCGCCTAAAAGTGAGCAGAGTAGGCGATAGTCTGATAAATTGGGGTGGTGAGTTCCAGAGGATGGGGGAAGCCCTGGAGACGAGCATGGGAGGAGGAGACAAGGGAGTCATAAAATGTTGTTGTTCCCTTTTTGTACCCTATGATGGGCTTAGATGAAGAAACGTTAACAGATCCCGTCTCTAGGAGGAAACCATGCAATGTGCACATCCAGATCAATATTTTGTGTCATCTGTGTGATTCAGCCTTCTATGGGGAGTGTGGACGAGCTGCGTCCTGTCTGCTCCTGCTCTCCTTGGACACTGGCATTGTCAGTAAGGTACCTTGTCTTTGTGTTGGGAAACGCTGCACAGAAATGTTGTTGTGTTCCAGTTGCAGGAGCGCAGAGACGCAGAACTCAGGGCTAAGCGTGAGGAGGAGGAGAGGAAGAGGAGGGAAGAGAAAAGGAGACAAGAAGAACAGAAGAGGAGAGACCAGGAGGAGGAGATGTACAGAAGGAAGCAGGTGACTTTATTTCTGTTGTTCCTAGCTCTTGCCTTAACTGCTTGCTCTCCATCCTATAGCAGAAGTACTGCTGCAGGGCGGCATGGCTGCACAAAATCATATATATATACGTGATATGTGTAACGGAACCGGTACCCGACCGCACTTGGGTATTTTCCGTTATACTGCAGCTTCCCCTGTCCGAACACCATCCACGGACCACGCCCTTGGAATCCCTCAGGAAAATAGACAATACCCAGCTCTTACTAAAACAGGAAGCCAACAACTTTATTTTTCACAAACAACATGTTTTATACAGAGGGCGGGGAAACACATCCAGGAACAGGACATACATCATCAGCCCACCCTCTCAGTGGGAAGGGCTACAGTATAGGCAGGAAACACCTCATCACCCCTCCCCATCCAACCAGACACAGAACAATGGGATGCAACCATGTGGCAAAGGACATTGACCAACCCCCACACCAATACACAAACAGTACATCCCATAATAGTTGGCTGGGCAGGAAGACACAGCACCATGGGGGGGAGCACATGGCAGGGACAAAGGAACACACACTATACACAATACTGGGACATTCACACCCTGTACCCCTTAACAGGCACAGGGTGGGTTAAACATTATGAGGGGGACATGAGCTGACCAAGCGGTCCCCCCCACCCCCAAAAGTCACTCCCGTCACAATATGCATTTCTGATTCGGGGGCACGCGTGCTGCCCTACCCGTGCTGCTATTGGCGGCGGCTAGGGATGTCAATCACTGGGTCTCGGCCGGCGATTCCCAACTGGCACACAGCGATCATCGAAAAAAGCTGACAGGGGAGAGACCTGTGTAAACAACACAGGTCTCTCTCCTCTGTCAGCATTGACAAGCTGATTTGTATCTCTCTGCACAGCATGTCTGCCTAGTAAAACACAGCACACAGTTAACCCTTTGATCATCCCAGATGTTAACCCCTTCCTGCCCAGTGCCATGAGTACAGTGTCAGGGCTTTTTATTAGCACTGATCACTGTATTGGTGTCACTGGGGATGTCAGTGGCAGTCAGTTCCCACCCAGTGTCAGAATGCCCGCCGCAGTCCCAATATAAGTCACTGATCATTACTAATATAAAAGAAATGTAAATTCCAGTCTATATACGGCCATTTGTAGACCCTATGTTTTTTACGTAAAACAATTAATTTACACATATTGGGATTTTTTTTTCTTTAGCAGAGACATGTAGCGGTATATATTTAGGCCTAAATTTATGAATACATTTTTTTTTTTTTTTAATTTTTGAGTTTGTTTTTCTTAGCAAAAAGTAAAAAAAAAATGAGAGAGATATAGGGAGAGGGAGATGTATATAGAGAGAGAGACATATAGAGAGGGAGATGTATATAGGGAGAGGGAGATGTATATAGAGAGGGAGATGTATATAGAGAGGGAGATGTATATAGAGAGGGAGATGTATATAGAGGGGGAGATGTATATAGGGAGAGGGGGAGATGTATATAGGGAGAGGGGGAGATGTATATAGGGAGAGGGGGAGATGTATATAGGGAGAGGGGGAGATGTATATAGGGAGAGGGGGAGATGTATAGAGAGAGGGGGAGATGTGTGTGTATATATATATATAGAGTGATATAGAGAGAGGTGTGTGTATGTATGTATATATATATATAGATAGATAGATGCACACACATCTATATAGAGAGAGCGATCTCTTCTTTTTTTTTTTTTTTTTTTTTTTCCCCTCAAAATTGTCGGTCTTTTTTTGTTTATAGCGCAAAAAATAAAAAATGCAGAGGTGATCAAATACAGCCGAAAGAAAGCTCTATTTGTGGGGCAACAAAAGGTCATAAATGTAACTTATGTATAGCGTTGCATAACTGCGCAATTGTCAGTTAAAATAATGCAACGCCATATTGAAAAAAATGGCCTGGTCAGGAAGGAGGGGGGAAGGGGGGGGGGGGGGGTAAAAGTGGTTAAGTAAAACTCCACATTTAACGTCCCTTTTTAAAAAGTTCAGGCCAGGCTGCCCAAAAAATGATTTACTGCACTAACAGGCGAGCTTGCTGGGCACGCTGCATTACCTGTATGTAGTCTGTTTATGCAGCATACAACGGTGTGTTCTGTCAGTGGGACGGGGACTTTCTGTCCCACTCCCAGAACACAATGGTCAGGCCGAGCGCTGCTTAGCCATTTGTAGGAAGCTGTGCATTCTATGAATACAAAGCTTTCTCTGATTGGCTGAAGCGGCGATTGTGACATTATCTGCCCACATCAGTCAATCAAAGGAAGTTTCCTCTGGTCGGGCGGTACTCACCCCGACACTATTTTGTTCCAGCAGTGGGGTGGGAGGTCCCAGTCTTGCTGCAGGAACCCATCGCATATAGCTGAGGCTGTATACAGGTAATACATTGCGCCCAACAAGATCACCTGTTGGTGTCTGAACTATTTCAGAGAGATTATCCTTTTTTTTCCCCCTCTTTCATTTTTACTGCATGAGCCCCCAGTTGGGTTATGCCATAATGTGCTAGCACACAGATACACTCATAATGTGCCCTCCAGCATTGCGTTGTCACCAGCTCTGCAGGTCTTGGACACTTCCATCGTTACCTGGCCTTCCTTCTGGGTTTGGCCCTTCAGTCTCCACATGGGAGTCAGATCACGGCGTACATGCATAGCTCAGTGTGCATTAGGCTTTAGTAACCAATCTCAGATGCTTAACGGTTTTATTCATTTCTTTTTCAGTGCCGCCAGCAACAGGAATTGCTTCTGAAACTCATCCAGCAGAGCGGACAACAAGCTCCATCTCCTCAAGTGTGGGCAGCTCATAACAAGGGGCTCTCCCTGAAAGCCATGTTGGAGATGCAGGAGAGAGAGGGGCAGCTTCTAAAACAAAGAGGACAGACGTCCCGCAATGTGGTGAGATACTGGGTGCACCTAGTGTCCGGGAAAGATTGGCTTCCTCTGTGAGATTGATGCCGGTAGTGTAAAGAAAACAAAACCCATTACCCAGGGTTAAATTGTATGAGGATTGCACTGATGGCTGGAGATGAAGGGTAATGGGAATGAAAGAACTGCTGGCTGGAGATGGTGTGGCAATATAGAGAAATTCAGTGAGGATGTAATAAAGAGAGTAGCACTGGGGATGGTGGGTTGCATGGATGAGGAGTTCTGGGATTGGTGGACAGCAAGAAGGAGGAGCCCTGGGAATGGTTGAATTGCATGGAGGAAGAGAGCTGGAGATGGTGGCTAGCATGGAGGAAAACTGCTGGGGATGGTGGCTAGCATGGAGGAAGAGAGCTGGAGATGGTGGCTAGCATGGAGGAAGAGAGCTGGGGATGGTGGCTAGCATGGACGAAGAGTGCTGGGGATGGTGGCTAGCATGGAGGAAGAGAGCTGGGGATGGTGGCTAGCATGGACGAAGAGTGCTGGGGATGGTGGCTAGCATGGAGGAAGAGAGCTGGGGATGGTGGCTAGCATGGAGGAAGAGTGCTGGGGATGGTGGCTAGCATGGACGAAGAGTGCTGGGGATGGTGGCTAGCATGGACGAAGAATGCTGGGGATGGTGGCTAGCATGGAGGAAGAGTGCCGGGGATGGTGGCTAGCATGGAGGAAGAGTGCCGGGGATGATGGCTAGCATGGAGGAAGAGTGCCGGGGATGATGGCTAGCATGGAGGAAGAGTGCCGGGGATGGTGGCTAGCATGGAGGAAGAGTGCCGGGGGGATGGTGGCTAGCATGGAGGAAGAGTGCCGGGGATGGTGGCTAGCATGGAGGAAGAGTGCCGGGGATGATGGCTAGCATGGAGGAAGAGTGCCGGGGATGATGGCTAGCATGGAGGAAGAGTGCCGGGGATGGTGGCTAGCATGGAGGAAGAGTGCCGCGGATGGTGGCTAGCATGGAGGAAGAGTGCCGGGGATGGTGGCTAGCATGGAGGAAGAGTGCCGGGGATGGTGGCTAGCATGGAGGAAGAGTGCCGGGGATGGTGGCTAGCATGGAGGAAGAGTGCCGGGGATGGTGGCTAGCATGGAGGAAGAGTGCCGGGGATGGTGGCTAGCATGGAGGAAGAGTGCCGGGGATGGTGGCTAGCATGGAGGAAGAGTGCCGGGGATGGTGGCTAGCATGGAGGAAGAGTGCCGGGGATGGTGGCTAGCATGGAGGAAGAGTGCCGGGGATGGTGGCTAGCATGGAGGAAGAGTGCCGGGGATGGTGGCTAGCATGGAGGAAGAGTGCCGGGGATGGTGGCTAGCATGGAGGAAGAGTGCCGGGGATGGTGGCTAGCATGGAGGAAGAGTGCCGGGGATGGTGGCTAGCATGGAGGAAGAGTGCCGGGGATGGTGGCTAGCATGGAGGAAGAGTGCCGGGGATGGTGGCTAGCATGGAGGAAGAGTGCCGGGGATGGTGGCTAGCATGGAGGAAGAGTGCCGGGGATGGTGGCTAGCATGGAGGAAGAGTGCCGGGGATGGTGGCTAGCATGGAGGAAGAGTGCCGGGGATGGTGGCTAGCATGGAGGAAGAGTGCCGGGGATGGTGGCTAGCATGGAGGAAGAGTGCCGGGGATGGTGGCTAGCATGGAGGAAGAGTGCCGGGGATGGTGGCTAGCATGGAGGAAGAGTGCCGGGGATGGTGGCTAGCATGGAGGAAGAGTGCCGGGGATGGTGGCTAGCATGGAGGAAGAGTGCCGGGGATGGTGGCTAGCATGGAGGAAGAGTGCCGGGGATGGTGGCTAGCATGGAGGAAGAGTGCCGGGGATGGTGGCTAGCATGCATGAGGAAGAGTGCCGGGGATGGTGGCTAGCATGGAGGAAGAGTGCCGGGGATGGTGGCTAGCATGGAGGAAGAGTGCCGGGGATGGTGGCTAGCATGGAGGAAGAGTGCCGGGGATGGTGGCTAGCATGGAGGAAGAGTGCCGGGGATGGTGGCTAGCATGGAGGAAGAGTGCCGGGGATGGTGGCTAGCATGGAGGAAGAGTGCCGGGGATGGTGGCTAGCATGGAGGAAGAGTGCCGGGGATGTTGATTAGCATGGAGGAAGTAGCACTGGGAATGGCGGGTAGCATGGATGAGGAGTTCTGGGATTGGTGGACAGTAGAGAGGAGCAGCCCTGGGAATGTTGGGATAGCATAGAGGAGTGGTGGAGATGGTAGGTAACATGGAAGGAGCAGTACGTGGGACATCTGGTGGCATGGAGGATCACTGGGGATGGTGAATAGCATGGAGGGATAGTGCTATACATGGTGGATAGCACAGAGGAGGAGTGCTGGTAATGGTAAATTGCATGGAGGAGGCGTGCTGGAGATGACTAATTGAATGGAGGAGAGGCATGCTGGGGATGGCGAATTGCATGGAGGAGGCGTGCTGGGGATGGCGAATTGCGTGGAGAGGGGGAGGAGTGCTGGGGGATGACTAATTGCGTGGAGGGGGAGGAGTGCTGGGGATGGCGAATTGCATGGTGGGGAGGAGTGCTGGGGGATGGCAAATTGCGTGGAGGGGAGGAGTGCTGGGGATGGCGGGGAGGGGAGGAGTGCTGGGGATGGCGGGGAGGGGAGGAGTGCTGTGGATGGCGAATGGTGTGGAGGGGGAGGAGTGCTGGGAATGGCGTGGAGGGGAGGAGTGCTGGGGATGGCGAGTGGAGGGGAGGAGTGCTGGGAATGGCGTGGAGGGGAGGATTGCTGGGGATGGCGAATGGAGGGGAGGAGTGCTGGGGGTGTTGGGTATGCTGAATAGAATGGAGAGCGCTGGCAATGGTGGAGGAGTGTTGGGGGATGGTGGATAGTGTGGGGAACAGATTTGAAATGGGTCGGGATTGGTGTTCTGGATTTAGAAAAGGTTTGGGGTTAAAAAGCCCCACCCAAGCCATTGTCTGGCAAGTGTATTGTTTTTTTCTTTTTCAGCATGGAGGTCTGGGGATGAGTGGTGCCTCTGTCATTCCTTCCCAATGGGGGTCTGATTCAGGCTCTCTGTGGGGAGGTCTGGAGAAGAGCCCTTGGGAGGAGAGTGTGAAAAGTGGAGCAAGTGCCAGAGGTCTGCGGAACAGTAGGAGTAGCCCATCACTGACGTGAGTGTTCAACACTTTCCTTCTCCAGCTTTTTCCTGCTCCGCCCCCCACTCAGCAATGTAAAAGTGAAGCTCATCTCTGGGCAACCTACACAGTGTTTCCTATATTGGGGGGCTGTAGAGGGAGCCCCGAAGTCAGCTCTTTATTCTTTTAACCACTTGCCGTCCGGTCGTTGTATATAAACTGCCGGACGGTGGCAGTGCATAAACAGCGCCAACCATTTTGGATTGTGTGCGCTTCCTGGGAGCGCACAGCACCGCTATCCGGTGCCCAATGTGTCCTCAGGACACAGCGAAACACCGATCGCTTTACGGGACCTCTGTGTGAGGTCCCTGTTCATGTGATCACTGATTGGCCAATCAATGATCACATGAACAGTAGTAAGCAAGATGTCACTTCTGACATCATTGCTTACTATGTGTGAAATCTGTGAATGATCACAGAGATCACATGGTACAAAGCTATTCACAACAGTCATGTACCATGTGACAAGGTGTGACCAATCACAGCTCACACAGTATTTCTCAATGGCTGCAAGAATGCAGACAGAGAGGAGGAGAAATGATTGCTTTTACAGCCTTTATTGGGGTTAAAGCACTCAGTGTAAAAAAAAAAAAAATTCTTCATCACCGCCAAGTAGTACAGTGTCACCATGGTGACACTGTACTGCTAGGGTGACAGTATGTAAAAAAAAATATAAAAATGTAAAAAAAAATGTTTTCAAAAATTATAATTTTTGGTTATAAACTAATTTTATTTTTTACTAAAAAGACAACTGAATAAATTTTGGGCAAGATTTATGAAGAAAGGATTATTTATTTGCAAAATTTTTATAAGAAAAACTTTTTTTTTTTTTTTTTTTTAATTTTTGGACTTTCATTTATATAGCAAAAAAAAATTTAAATCCCAGCGGTGAATAAATACCACCAAAATAAAGTTTTCTGTCTCAAATAAATGCTAAAAAATTCATATGGGTACAGTGTTGCATGACCACTGGAAGGGGGGGAAAGTGTCCGGACTGGAAGGGGGGGCGGGAAGTGTCCGGACTGGAAGGGGGGGGGGGGAAAGCGTCCGGACTGGAAGGGGGGGGAAAGCGTCCGGACTGGAAGGGGGGGGGAAAGCGTCCGGACTGGAAGGGGGGGGGAAAGCGTCCGGACTGGAAGGGGGGGGGGAAAGCGTCCGGACTGGAAGGGGGGGGGGGGGGGAGGGAGCGTCCGGACTGGAAGGGGGGGGGGGGGGGGGGGAAGCGTCCGGACTGGAAGGGGGGGGGAAAAGCGTCCGGACTGGAAGGGGGGGGGGGGGGGGGGAAAGCGTCCGGACTGGAAGGGGGGGGGGAAAAAGCGTCCGGACTGGAAGGGGGGGGGGGAAAGCGTCCGGACTGGAAGGGGGGGGGGGAAAGCGTCCGGACTGGAAGGGGGGGGGGGAAGTGTCCGGACTGGAAGGGGGGGAGAAAGCGTCCGGACTGGAAGGGGGGGGGGAAAGCGTCCGGACTGGAAGGGGGGGGGGGGAAGCGTCCGGACTGGAAGGGGGGGGGGAAAGCGTCCGACTGGAAGGGGGGGGGGGGGGGAAAGCGTCCGGACTGGAAGGGGGGGGGGGGGGGAAAGCGTCCGGACTGGAAGGGGGGGGGGGAAAGCGTCCGGACTGGAAGGGGGGGGGGGGGGGGGAGGGAAAGCGTCCGGAGTCCGAACTGGAAGGGGGGGGGGGGGGTAGTGTCCGGACAGGAAGTGGTTAATAGGAAACACTGCCTGCAGTCCTCCCTGCTGATTGTGGTCCTTCTCTCCGGCCCATCAGGGACTCGTATGCGGTCAGTGCTCGCCGCAAGAAGACGGATGAGGAAGAAAAGCTCTTAAAACTCCTTCAGGGAATCAAACCGTCGGATGGCTTCACTCAGTGGTGTGAGCAGATGCTACATATGATCAATACATCCAACAATTTGGACGGTGAGCCTTCTGCCGATGAATGTCCCGGGATCTCCCTTTCACCATAAGGGCCCCTGACATCCTTCTTTTATTGTCCCCAACAGTTCCTACGCTGGTGGCCTTTCTGAAGGAGCTGGAGTCTCCGTACGATGTTCACGACTACATCCGCTCCTGTCTTGGGGAAACGCTTGAAGCCAAAGAATTTGCTAAACAGTTTTTAGAACGAAGAGCGAAGTACAAAGCCAGCCAGCGACAGCAGGTGAGCGGCCATTGTAGAGAACCAGCGCGGGGACACAACTGTAGCCAGGGCCTGATATGTAGAAGGGGGATGTGTAGAGGTCCCAGGTTTCAGTTTTGTACATAGAATGCGTGGCGGTTTAGTACATTGGATTGGTGTCGGTGTACATGTGTCCTTTGTGCATGCCGCACAGCATAGGAGAGATGTACAGCAATATTCTTTCCATCAGATTTCCTCCCCCCTACATCCGGTATTGGGGATATGTTTGTTCATCATCCACGGGGCCCTCGTACCAGCAAGTGGCATTTTTATTCCTTTCCGTATTCTTCTCGACTCCATTGTTTTAAGAGTCACACTACAGAATTCAGTATCCTGTCCGATCTTTGTTTAACCACTTCCCAACCGCCCTATAGCCGGAGGAGGGCTACAGCGTGGTTGTGTAATCCTGGGACCTCATTCCAGAATACGCCCCCCTGCAAGCCACCGGTGATCGATGTGTCCTGTGGATACAGCTGATCATGTGGTATGGTAAACGGACAATCACGGCGGCCTTTTACCACATGATCACCTGTGTCCAATGACACAGCAGATCACCGGTAAATACATTTGCCGGTTACAGACTTCACTTTCCTCACACTGTCACAGCATGAGGAAAGAACTGCCGATAACCGGCAATTGTCAGCGAAGGGATCGGCACTGATGATCTGTGCCACCTCATCAGTGCTGCATATCTGTATCACCTATCTGTGCCACCTCATCAGTGCTGCCTATCTGTGCCGCCTATCTGTATCGCTTATCTGTGCCACCTCATCAGTGCTGCCCATCTGTGCCACCTCATCTGTGCCGCCTATCTGTGCCACCCTCATCTGTGCCGCCTATCTATATCGCCTATCTGTGCCACCTCATCTGTGCTGCCCATCTGTGCCGCCTATCTGTGTTGCCTCATCTGTGCCGCCTATCTGTGCCGCCTATCTGTATCGCCTATCTGTGCCACCTCATCTGTGCCGCCTATCTGTATCGCCTATCTGTGCCGCCTATCTATATCGCCTATCTGTGCCACCTCATCTGTGCTGCCTATCTGTATCGCCTATCTGTGCCACCTCATCTGTGCTGCCTATCTATATCGCCTATCTGTGCCACCTCATCTGTGCTGCCTATCTGTATCGCCTATCTGTGCCACCTCATCAGTGCTGCCCATCTGTGCCACCTCATCTGTGCCGCCTATCTGTGTTACCTCATCTGTGCCGCCTATCTGTGTTACCTCATCTGTGCCGCCTATCTGTGCCGCCTATCTGTGCCGCCTATCTGTGCCGCCTATCTGTATCGCCTATCTGTGCCGCCTATCTGTGCCGCCTATCTGTATCGCCTATCTGTGTCGCCTATCTGTGTCGCCTATCTGTGTCGCCTCATCAGTGCTGCCTATCTGTGCCACCTCATCAGTGCTGCCTATCTGTGCCACCTCATCAGTGCTGCCTATCTGTGCCACCTCATCAGTGCTGCCTATCTGTGCCACCTCATCAGTGCTGCCTATCTGTGCCACCTCATCAGTGCTGCCTATCTGTGCCACCTCATCAGTGCTGTCTATGGTTTTTTTTTTTTTTTTTGTTTGATTGTTTGCTCTTTTTTTTTTGTTAGTGCAAGAAATAAAACACCCAGTGACAAGTAAATGTCACCAAAAGAAAGCTCTCTTTGTGTGAAAAAAATGATAAACATTTCACATGGGTACAATGTTGCATGACCGCACAACTGTCATTCAATGTGCAACAGCGCTAAAAGCTGAAATTTGGCCTTGGCAGGAAGAGGGGGTATAAGTGCCCGGTAGGCAAGTGGTTAAAGCTTGTAGGAGGAGTTTTCTTTCTGCTCTAGGAGGATGCAAACCCCCTGACCCTCTGTCTGGACAGTGATGATTGGCCCTGTGCTGATCACATGCACTCTCCCAAGAAAGGAAAAAACAAAACCTCTCTAGCAATACACACCAAACTGAGTATGTGCATGTGGCTACATATTCAGTCTGTCTTATCAGGTGATAAGACGTGGACATTTGAGCAAGAGGAAGAGCAGAGAAGTCAGGATCGAACTTTTTTTTTTTTTTACACAGTGCAGAGGATTAACCCCTTAGGTTCCACAGTGAGTTTATCACGCATGCTTTACTGCATCTACAGACGGATTTCAGCCGGGGTTCACATACATGCGGTGTATCGCATGTGATTCGCACAGGAACCGCACCGCATTCCTGTGCAAATCACATGCGATTTGTGTGCTGTGCGATTGGAGCCGTACATTTTGTATGGCTCTAATCGCACCGCACCACTAAAATCGGATTGCATGGGTACTCACACCTATGCGATCCGATTCCGCACATCGCACCGCGTTTTACAGACCGCTTTCGGGGTGTCCTTAACATACACACCCGCAGTGGTTCGCATGAACGGGGTGCGATTCTGATGCTGCACGGAATGCGCACAGAAAATGCTTTGAATGCCGCACCGCATCAGTGTGAACCAGGTTTGATTGTTGGGGGTTTACTAACACTTTAACCCTTTCACTGCTAGAACAGTTTTCTTTTCTTTTTTTTTTTTTTTTTTTTTTTTTACGTTTAAAAAATAATCATTTTAGGTCTGAAGATTACATAAAACCCCGATAGCAGGCACCCTGGAGAATAAAGAGCGTGTAACCTCCCCTCACGCTAGTTTTTTCTTTTTTCTTTCCCTAGCACCCCATGTGAACTTGGGGAGAGCACCCCTGTAACTACCATGTACTATGCCTACATGTGTGTCAATATGCCTACATACAGCTCTGCCTTTCGGTCATCCAACCTGCTGCATTTTGTATTTTGGTGCTTTTCTCCCCACCCTCATATGGACACCATACCTGTTTTCACAAATTTCTCTGTTCAATTTATTAGTTTTCAAAGGATGGAAACATAGGAATGGGACAATCCATAAACATTTGAACAAGAAAAAAGCGTGTAACCTAAAAAAAAATTGAAACTACCAATAATTACCGTAAAAGTTTAGGAAATGCAAAATCGTAGTACAAAAAAAAAAAATACATTAAAGTTAATGTTAGGGCGAACAAATGCAATAAATGACCCAGTCTTTGGTAAAATATTAAAGAGGAGGTTGTACCGAGTAAATGGATACCCAACATGTCAAACCTTACCCAGGGTTCACATCTATGCGGCCGTGCGGGCCGCGTTTTGCACGGCACGAGAACCCATTCATTTGAATGGACTCCAGTGCCCCGGGACACGCATGGACAGAAGTCCCCACACTTCTTCCGAAAACGCAGCCGAGGTTCCCAGTGCGGGTAGCCTGCCATTATAACGAATGGCACTCGCCCGTGGGTCCGCATTTCTCTGCGGGTGGATTTTCGTGCGGATCCGTGGCTGCACCACCTGCACAGATGTGAACCAGGGGGGGTAAAACTGCGCCTGTGAAATGGCAGCAAGCTTCAGTACTCGGTTTTCCATAGGCGACACTTGGAAAGCCCCCTACAGGTCGTCAGTTACACAGAAGTGCCGGTGGTAGAATGATTGCTCTCAGGTCGACGTGTGCAGCAACATTGAACATGCATCAGTTGACTTTTTCATACGTAGGCACCCCCGACGTGTGCGGTTTTATATGTGTGGGTGGGGGCCTCAAAAAATGTCTTGGGGTATTTTATGTACTTGGGAGTAAACTTTCTTTAAATTTTTAAAAACTTTCCTTTCCATCACATAGGGGACACAAATGTGATGTTTTTTTGGTGACAGTTTTTCTTTTTAATGGGTCAGCCCTGGGCTCCAGTGATTCTAATGTAGTGCAGATCACACTGCATGAGATTCCTTCCAGGCCATGCTGGCCGGGAAAGATGAAAGGGGGACCCAGAAGTTACTTTTACATGCCAGGAAGAAGGGGGAGGAGAACAGGGGCTACCTAACAGCACCCACCATGCAGGGCCTGGGATACATGGTGGGGGCGCTTGTTCTAAACCAGTGGTCTCCAAACTATGGGCTGGGGCCAGATGAGGCCCTTTACTTGCCCTTATCCTGCACTTGGGGCACTTTCCCCCCACTGATAAAAGACACTATTCCTCCCACTGACACCAACAAGGGGGCATAATTCCTGCTACTGACATCACCAACAGGCACTGTTCCTCCCATTGACACCAAGGATGGGGCACTGTTCCTCCCATTGACACCAAGGATGGGGCACTGTTCCTCCCATTGACACCAAGGATGGGGCACTGTTCCTCCCATTGACACCAAGGATGGGGCACTGTTCCTCCCATTGACACCAAGGATGGGGCACTGTTCCTCCCATAGACACCAAGGATGGGGCACTGTTCCTCCCATTGACACCAAGGATGGGGCACTGTTCCTCCCATTGACACCAAGGATGGGGCACTGTTCCTCCCATTGACACCAAGGATGGGGCACTGTTCCTCCCATTGACACCAAGGATGGGGCACTGTTCCTCCCATTGACACCAAGGATGGGGCACTGTTCCTCCCATTGACACCAAGGATGGGGCACTGTTCCTCCCATTGACACCAAGGATGGGGCACTGTTCCTCCCATTGACACCAAGGATGGGGCACTGTTCCTCCCATTGACACCAAGGATGGGGCACTGTTCCTCCCATTGACACCAAGGATGGGGCACTGTTCCTCCCATTGACACCAAGGATGGGGCACTGTTCCTCCCATTGACACCAAGGATGGGGCACTGTTCCTCCCATTGACACCAAGGATGGGGCACTGTTCCTCCCATTGACACCAAGGGGCCCTGTTCCTCCCCTAATGCCAGCGATGCATTGTTTACTCCCAATGAAGGACAATTTCTACTCCCAAAGGCCAGTCTGCCCCCCCACCCCAAGTCTTAAAGCCAGTAAGCTGGCCCTTTGTGTAGGAAGCACGGAGACCCCTGTTCTAAAGGAAACCAAACTGTTAGGCTACTGGCCATAGTAGGACGACTCTGGCATCTCGGCCCCCCTTGGTCTGCCCAGCCCACTTAGGGTCGGCCACAAATTCACCCCCATTGGTGGCTACAGTTCCCGTTGTATGATGGGAGGTGTTAAAAAAAGGGGGGGGGGAAAATCTCAAACCAATTCTTTTCTCTTCCAAGTGTTCAGTGCCATCCTGCAAATGGACAGGGAAGCCAAGTGACCCATGTAAGGATTCCGTCTCACTAACGCCATCATTTTCTCGTTTTGCAGCAGGAAGCTGCCTGGATGGCTCCTCCCATGTTTCCAGCAACCCAAAATTCCAAGCCAGGCAGCGGATACGACGTACAGAGCAGCAAGATGAAGAGGCGGATACACATGTTACACTCGGATCCCAGCATCCTGGGTGGGTAATACGGCGCCTGCTCCCCTCCCTGCAAGGCCTTATAACATTTGTTTAGTTGTTCCCCCAGAACTACATCTCCCTGAAGCCTTTTCCCATCACACATTGTAGGCCGGGGCTCTCGGGAGTCAAGGCAGCAGCACTTCGTTGGGACAGAAATCTGTGTACAGAGGAGCAGAGTTCTGTAGCCCAGCAGGGGACAACTGTGCAAAGCTGTCAGTGCGGCTAGGGATTTCAGTGCAGCAGAGGCGGTGTTGTCAGCCAACAGGAAGTAATTCTGATTGGCTTGTTGGCTTCCCTGTCATAGCACTGGTAGGAAGGGGAGGGAGGCACTCACTCCTCCATATTTGTTGCCAATGGCTGAACAGAGCAGCACATACAGGTAAACGTTCATTGTCCCTGAACACCTTTGCAGATATTTGTTTCAGCTCCGTTTTTTTTTTTATTTTTGTTTTTTGGGGGGGAGGGGGGGTTTATTCCTTTTTTTGTTTTTGTGTATCTGATGTCTCCAAATGTTCTGAGTTTATTTTTTAATATTTTATTTTGATTTTCCTTCAGGTTACTCTCTTCACGGCTCCCCAAACGAGATGGAGGCTATAGATGACTACTGAGGCGTGTCTCTTCCCTCTCGACGCCATCTTTTTTTCTTCACCCGCCGCATTTTTTTTGCGGTTTTACTGCACTGCAAACTTTATGCCTCCCCCTTTTTAAGCGAGGGGGGGAGGGCAGAGACTGGGAGAGGAGGGGGTGGATCTTTACCCCAGCCAGAGCCAGGGAGAAAGGGGGGAGCAACGCCCTTGTTCCCTCCCCCCACTCCCCAAAAAAAATAAAAAAACATAATGCACTCATTTTAAAGCACCTTAAACAATGCACTTTACAGAAACTGATCAAAAATCTGAATTCCTTGTTTTCTTTAGTTCATTCATTATTTTTTTTAACTAAGAGAAATAAAAAAAAAAAAAAAAAAATCCCAAAAAAGGAGGGGAAAAAAAAACTGGATTTGTTGACTTTGACTGTTTGCTACTAGTTGAACATCGTGTTTTTGGCATTGTTTTCTTTCAATTTCTTCTTTTTTCTTTTCTTTTTTTTTTTTTTAACTTGACAGTTTCTGAACATTTTTGGTTTTTTTTTTTTTTTTTTTTTTTTTTTTCTTTTTGTTTTTTTTTTGTATCAAAAAGTTAAGTATTCCGACAGCGGATCTCTCTTAAGAAAAAGAAAAATTATTTTGGAAAAAATACAGCCAAAAAAAAAACTTTTTCTTCAGATATTTTTTTTTCCAAAATCTATTTTGTTTAGAAAAAGAAAAAAGTATAAAAAAAAAAGACAAAAAAATTTATAAAAAGTACAAAAAAAGACAAAAAAAAAAAGTTTTTCAGCGCTTTTGCAAAGTTAAGATGCTCAGCTTTGAGTTCCCTGTTGTCTGGGGGAGGGTCAAGGAGGAGATATCATCCATCAAAACTTGAAGAATGCACTTAGCAATTCGGGGAGGGGGGGGGGAAAAATCTGCATTTTTTTAATGGTTATGTTTTTTTGCACAGTTTAAAGAAAAAAAAAAAAAAATTTAAAAAAAAAGCTTGCATTTTTTTGTTACTAAAATTGCAGAAAAAAGAAATTCCCTCTAGGACTATATATATATATTTTTTTCTTTTTCACGTGCCCACCCCCCTCCCTCTCCATTTATAAAGGATGCACTTGCTTCTCTTAATATAAGCGGCCTGTGGCCCAGAAAAAAAAAAAAAAAATTAATCCCATGAAGGATCGCGTTCTGGAGTTGAATTTCTTGAGCATTATTGAGTGCCAGGACTTCTCGGCATTCAGCCATCTAACCACATTGGATTCACGTCAGTTTTGGGCCTTTTCAGTCAGTGTTCAATTTTATGGAGGTTCGCACCCTGCCTTCATGTTTGTGTTTTTTTTTGTTTTTTTTTCTCTTTTTGGGACATGGTACCTGTTCTTATTTAACCCTATTTTCTTGGAAGTGTAGAATAGGGTTTGTTTTGTTTTTTCCCTTTTTTGCCCTCGGTTAATGTTTTTACTCTGATTTTGTTTACAAGCGTCCTTAGGTGGACAGGTGGTTAAAGAGGATGGAACAGTAGAGATCCGTTGGACTTACTACAAGGAGGAACCAGATGTTTGAGTGTCTGGAGTACAAAATAAAAAAAAAAAAAAAAAAAAAAAAAATAGAGAGGACTGTGAGGCTGTGTATGGTGCAGTTGCCTTAATGTTGACACCTCAGCTCTACATCGCCCACGCGTTATCCTCCTGCAAAGACAGTTTGGGACCAGCGCTGTGAGCCCACTCTTGACGGCTTCCTCTGCAGAAGAGACTAAAGGGGGAGGGGGGGGACCGTCTTTCAAAATGGCTGCAGTCCCGCTTAAAAAAAAAAAAAAAAAACTAATGGGAGTTACCATCTCCTGAAAAAAAAAGGGGTGTTTTGTTTGGATTGTGAAGAGCTTTTACATCGGACAAGGATCACCCTTTGTGGAGTTCTCAAGCTATAGCAGTGTTTAAGGCAGTTCCGGGCATCTGGACGTTGTCGGAGGTCTGCCTGTTGGAGCGGACGCAGGGTCTGCTCTGGACTTTGTGGAACTATACTGTGTACATAGAAACTGCAATGGGAAACAAAATACTAATTTTTTTTTTGCCTAAAACAAGAGACACTTAAGTTGTTGCCGTGGATATCACATGTATCTTCACCACAAGAATGTATTAGGGCAGAGGCTGGCATCCAGCTCCCGTGTTGCCCCTTCCAGCCCCAGCGCTGTCTAGCGCTGAGGAAGTGTATATAGTCGGTGCCCTTGTTTGGGAGAGATTACAGTGATGACTGTTGCTCACTGTATGTATATAATACGGGGGGGGGGGGAGGGAGGAGGGGTATACTACTTATGGCTTAAACGTATATTGTGCTGAATGTATAAGGTGTACATATAATATGTATCTATACGTGTGTGCAGGATATTTCCACTATCGGTAATAAAACCTCCTACTGATTTGATGTGGACCGTGAAGGGGTACAGTTGGCACCCATTGCAGTCTTTTTTGGGTTGGCTCATGGTCCCCATTGCAGTTCCCCCCCCCTTCTCGGATGGCTCATGGTCCCCATTGCAGTTCCCCCCTTCTCGGTTGGCTCATGGTCCCCATTGTAGTTCCCCCCCCCTTCTCAGTTGGCTCATGATCCCCCACTGCAGTTCCCACTACTGGGTTAGCGCATGATCCCCACTGCAGTTCCAGCTTCTGGGTTAGCGACTGATCCCCACTGCAGTTCCCCCATGTGGGTTAGCACCTGATCTGCACTGCAGATCCTGCATGTGGGTTAGCGCCTGATGCCCATTGCAGTTCCTGCATGTGGGTAAGAGCCTGATCCCCATTGCAGTTTCCGCCTCTGGGTTAACGCCTGGTTCCATTGCAGTTTTTGCCTTTGGGTTAGCGCCTGGTCCCCATTGCAGTTCCCGCCTCTGGGTTAGTGCCTGGTCCCCATTGCAGTTCCCGCCTCTGGGTTAGTGCCTGGTCCCCATTGCAGTTCCCGCCTCTGGGTTAGTGCCTGGTCCTCATTGCAGTTCCCGCCTCTGGGTTAGTGCCTGGTCCTCATTGCAGTTCCCGCCTCTGGGTTAGTGCTTGGTCCCCATTGCAGTTTCCGCCTCTGGGTTAGCACCTGGTCCCATTGCAGTTTTTGCCTTTGGGTTAGCGCCTGGTCCCCATTGCAGTTTTTGCCTTTGGGTTAGCGCCTGGTCCCCATTGCAGTTTCCGCCTCTGGGTTAGCGCCTGGTCCCCATTGCAGTTCCCGCCTTTGGGTTAGCGCCTGGTCCCCATTGCAGTTCCCGCCTTTGGGTTAGCGCCTGGTCCCCATTGCAGTTCCCGCCTTTGGGTTAGCGCCTGGTCCCCATTGCAGTTTTTGCCTCTGGGTTAGCGCCTGGTCCCCATTGCAGTTTTTGCCTCTGGGTTAGCGCCTGGTCCCCATTGCAGTTTTTGCCTCTGGGTTAGCGCCTGGTCCCCATTGCAGTTTTTGCCTCTGGGTTAGCGCCTGGTCCCCATTGCAGTTCCCGCCTCTGGGTTAGCGCCTGGTCCCCATTGCAGTTCCCGCCTCTGGGTTAGCGCCTGGTCCCCATTGCAGTTCCCGCCTCTGGGTTAGCGCCTGGTCCCCATTGCAGTTCCCGCCTCTGGGTTAGCGCCTGGTCCCCATTGCAGTTCCCGCTTCTGGGTTAGTGCCTGATCCCACAGCACTCTGTGACTGATAACTCGGTTCACCTTTCCCTGCACCATGTCCCACCACCATCCTGCACACGTGTATACGAAAAATGCAGATATGTTTATATACCGCTCAGCTATACATATAAATATATCTGTGTACATGCCCCGCGCCATGTCTGTATTATGCGCAAGAAGCTTTGCCTGTAATTCAGACAGCCCTGCGCATACAGTGGCGTATGTATCTTCACGTACATATGCCATCACACTATGTTTTGCCTGATAAATCCTTCAGTTTTCTCTATTCTGTGATATTTTGCCTTATTTTCAGTATTAAAAGGTTGAAGTGAACACAGTTTTGTTTTACCTGCTCAAACATGTCCGTCACCCACAAGGCATTCTCTTGTCTTCTGTGAGTTATAATAAAACTTAACACATCTTGACTGAAATTGGAGTGAATATCGCCTTATCGGTTTCATGGGGGGAAAAGAAATAGACGACAGCTGTTTTGGGGGATTCTGCATTAAACGGGGATACAGTGAAGGAAATGTGTATTTGCTCTCCTGCTGATTTTAAATGTTTGCCCCTCACAAAGAAATGATCGGTCTAATCGAATGTTCGGTGTATTGTAACACTGAAAGACAGAATAGAAACAACAAATTCAGCAGAAATGCGTCTAACAAATGATGACTGATTTGCATGTTCATGAGGGACAGAAGGATTTGATCCCCTTCACAAAACATGACTTAGTACTTGGTGGCAAATCCCTTGTTGGCAATCACAGAGGTCATAATTTTCCTGTAGTTGGCCCCCAGGTTTGCACACATCTCAGGAGGGATTTTTGCTCACTCCTCTTGGCAGATCCTATCCAAGTCATTAAGGTTTGGTGGCTGATGTTTGGCAACTCGAACTTTCAGCTCCCTCTACAGAATCGGATGAAGGTCTGGAGACTGGCTAGGCCACTCCAGGACCTTAATGTGCTTCTTCTTGAGCCACTCCTTTGTTGCCTTGGCCGTGTGTTTTGGGTCATTGTCATGCTGGAACACCCATCCATGACCCACTTTCAATGCCCTGGCTGAGGGAAGAAGGTTCTCACCCAAGATTTGAGGGTACATTGCCCCGTCCATCGTCCCTTTGATGCGGTGCAGTTGTCCTGTCTCCTTAGCAGAAAAACACCCCCAAAGCAGAATGTTTCCACCACATTTCACAGTTGGGATGGTGTTCTTGGGGTCATAGGCAGCATTCCTCCTCCAAACACGGTGAGTTGAGTTGATGCCAAAGAGCTGGATTTTGGTCTCCTCTGACCACAACACTTCCCACCAGTCCTCCTCTGCATCATTCAGATGTTCAGTGGCAGACTTCAGACGGGCCTGGACATGTGCTTTCTTGAGCAGAGGGACCGTGCGGGCACTGCAGGATTTCAGTC